GTACCATAGCCACTGCTCCACGGCGATGGATGCAAAGTATAGTGGAGTTCATTAGGACTCACTCAAGAAGGATTGAAAATAGGAGGAAAAGAACGGCAGGGAGGTTGACCAGCCTATAGGCAGCCGGTTTGCTAACCTGCGCATGGGAGGGGGATGGGGGAGATGAAAGATAGAGAGCACATTCGGCAGCACACGCGCGCACACTCAGTCATGGTTCAGTCTTGTCTTTCGCGGTGTGTGACATTGCTTCTTACAGCCACTTGTTCAAGTGCGTGTCGCGTAGGAATTTCAAGAGAGCTTTTGTCGCCTTCTGTTGCAATGTCTTCTCTCGGGCACTTGACGGAATAGTGTACACAGACAAGTGCACTTTGCGATTAAGGCCTCCTCAGACGCAAGAAGCCCTAAATTTGCCTCAAGCAGACGACTTACCAAAACCTTTTCTCAAACGGACTTACTTGCGCTGAAGTTCAGAAAATTATTAGTAAGGCCGTACTCACTCACACTTACTGGTACTTCTAGTCTGAGCGAGTCTGCCAGACTATGGCTACGACAATTTGTCGTGCGCAAATCTGTTCCAAACGAGATAGCATACGCGAAAGCTAGTTTCACCACATCAGACGTCTTTATAAGGAGAAGCCAACTTTTGCGTCCCCTGTGGTGTCATCGCGATAGTGTGAATGCACTCGCTTATCAAGACACTAGAAGGCAGCAGCAGCGCCACCAGAAATAAAGAGCTGGCGGGGGGGGGGGGCGCATCTCCTCCTTGATTATTTATCCTCTCCCTTCAATGCCCCCTCCCCCCCCCGTTCCTTACAGCGAAGATTGTGAAAGCACGATGCACAAGAAAAGAGTGTCAGAACGAAAAGCGTGCACCACCTTCTACATCAACTGAGTAATCTCGCAGCCTGAATCTTTCATGCGTGGAGAAAGGAACATATAGAAGGAATCCTCCCGCAAGAAAACTGAAGCAAAAGTTGTATAAATAAATGAAAAAAAAAAAACAAAGACCTTTGGCCCAACACGTGACAATGACGTCAGAGCACGCCGCACACGCACCAACTCGGCTAAATAGGCTGCTTCTTCACCGACGCACAAAGATACTCGGCCAGTACGACGCGTCTCATAGGTATCTGTTAGGCCTACACTACGGGCTTCAAAATGCGAATAGAGTGTAGTAAAAACAACCCCCCCCCCCCCCTCCCCAACCTAGGAAAAAAAGATTGCCCACGTTTCTACCACGTGACTTAATGCTCTCACGTAAACTTTGTTACTTCATGCTTGCATTTGAAATATAACACTCTGGTGGTGCTGTTGGCAGACGCCTATGCTTTTGAACCTCGTCATAATGAACATTGATACAGCGCGTCATCTGTTATAGCGAACTCAATGCGAATTTTGGTTGGTGCAGCTTCACATTACTCTTTTTTTTTTGAGTAGACGATTATTTTACCTAAGGCGCATGGGCGCTGCGACGGACGCTGTTAAACGGGCGTTTTCTTATTTTCTTATCTCGCGACGTCAATTCATAAGTTCAGGCAACGTGGAATGTACCAACCGAACCATTTACATGTGCGAACGTCCACCGTTGCACAGTTCGTTTCTTTGATGAAGGGAAAGGTTAATCAACAGCCCATCATGGTGGCACTGAAACCCATCCTTGAATGTGCCTATAACTATAGTGCCTAGTATATTCTGGGCGCTGCACTATAACAAAGCCGAAATCGAGAGCGCTACCACGACATCAGGTATGATGAAGAAATAAAGACGCCATCGACATACTGGGGCGCTTTCAGCCACGCTCTGTCCGGCCGGGACCTCTATTTACGCCATTTATGATCATGTAAAAACTGGCACGGCAGCTGAAAAGAGTCAAAGCATAGTATGGGAATCATGAGAAAGACGGAGTACAATAAAGAAATAAATGCAGAAAGCGAGAGATATTCAGAGATAGCGATATAAAAGGATAGAAAGAAAGACGACGTAAGCGAGAAATTTAGAGAAAGGGATGAAAGAGGAAGGTAGAGAACGAAGCACAAGCACGCGAGAGAGAGAGAAATAAATAGAAATAATTAGAATAAAAACTAATTTGAAAAAACACAGATTATAAAGGAAGTAGAAAGCAATCGACGATGAAATAGAGAAAACTTGCAAAATGTAACAAAACAGCAAAAGCCAGAAATACACAGCTGTCCATGAGCTACACTCTCTTTTTACCACTGCGGCTGCAGTGCGAGTTGTGATATTATTATTATTTAGTACCTTTATGCGAGCCGTATATATGATTTGTCACGGTCAACCTTTATCTCCTCTGTCGCAATATGAGTATCTGATATAACAAACTGATTTATGGTGCTGATGATAGTTCGTTATAAGAAGGCGCAGTCGTGGCCGAGTGGTTAAGGTGATGGTCTTGATAGTTCGTTATAAAGACATTCGACAGTAATCGGAAACCAACTGGCACCTCTTTCGCAGACTCTGGCGGCGATCCAAGGGCAGTGCCGGGAGTTGACAACCCAGTCGGCTTGAACGGTAACGGTGAGCGACGTAAATTTCCAGTTTTTAAACCACACTGCGACATTAAAAGGCTGCTGGTACTGGGCGTACTCCATGCGTGATGTCACAGAAACGTGCGTCACAGTAGGAAGCGACCGCAGTTCAGTCGAGTCGTTAGCCGATTCCGAAAGTCCGGATCGTAGACAGAAATTTCCTAGGCGACCATTACATATGTTGTTGCATGTGTTTGTATGTGTGCATCTACACGTGCAAAATAAAAATTTACAGGTGGATGGGGATAGTGTTTGAACAATATTACCGTGCTCCTCCCACGCTCCTCATTCATTTTGGCTACAACAGTGCCAAGAATCAAGAACCAATACCGAAACTATGTTTGCCAAACTCAGATTGAACTGATTGACAAGAAACTAGCATATTTTAATCCAGTCTCAGTTCAATGTTTTTCGATGCCTTAATTTTATTGCTTTTATGTTCCAACTCGTCTGACAAAAAAAAAAAAGGAAATTCTCTCAGTGTATTAGGTTCATCAGACAATCACACGCCTTGGCTGACTTGCAGTCACATTTTAGAGAAGCTTTGTGCAAGCGGTGCACGTGCAACTGTTGGGCATGGTAATATATACACTCAAACCTCGATATAGCAAAATATCGGTTATAATAAAGTAATTGAAATATAGTCTTGCAATAGAAATTTTGCGAATATATCTTTATAACGAATTTTCGGATATAACAAACATATTTTGCTGTAAGATGCAACTGTTATGACGTTTGAGTATGCAATCGTGCCATGTACCAGCAGTCTTTTATGCCGACAGCGACTTGGAGTAGCAAGCACAATGCCTGCAACCTTGCCAGGTTGATTATCTGATTGCTGTTGCATACAATACCCCACAAAAATTACAGGAGAGCGTGCACACTGCGCAAACTTCAGTGTCGCTTCACAAATTCAAAATTCAGTTCAGTGTAACAACCATTTTAAGTGACCTTCCCTGTCTAGTACAACACAATTTGTGCAGCATGAGCCCTTGAGGCGGCTGAACTAATTACGTGGCAAGCCCGCCATTAAAATGGCTCCAATAATAATGTGATACTATGCAAAGTTTGCTCACTACTTGAAGATTGTGCAGTGTGCATCCCCAAATGTCATCTTTCGCTGCGATATCAAAACTATGCTGCGAGCTTTGCGCGTGCGAGTCGCATGCGCAATGCCAGTTAGGTGCTGGGACGATGAATGAACTGTGGAGCAACAAGACCGCCAAGGGAACAACACAACGACAACGGAGCCAGAGACGACAATGTCCTTCTTCAGGACAACATCTACTTGGGCCATCGGTTGAGGACAGACAAGAGATGAAATACGAGGTAAGAAAAACGGAGAATCCATAGGCTTCAGACGCAAAGGCATCGCACAGAGGGGGGAGGGGAAGGAGTAGCAGATTGTAAGGTACTCTATGGGATGACGGTGCGATCAAACTTTCCCCCAACGTGAAGCCCTGCCCACGCCTACGTACAGACGCATTACTGGACATGGATTACGGCTTCGAATAAACATTGTGTAAATTGCAGTAGTTATTTCAGCATCTCAGTTTTTCAGGAAGTCAAAGGTGTAAAGGTCTCAATACATGAACCTTGCATTCTACTGTTTGTCTTATAGAATTATATTACTATTAAATGCAAAGCATCTCTTTACAAACCAAGGACACATTTAGAATTTCTATCTATCGTATCTCGAGCCGCCTTTACAAGGTGCTCTTATAGACTACGCCTTGGCTTTGTATATGCCGGTATTGACATCATAGGGTACGATGAACACAACTCGAAAGTCTTGGCATATATGACATGCCTGTTGTGTAAACAGCGACACTCTTTTTGACAGACACGGGTGATGCATATCCACAAACCAAGATTCGTGGCATGCATATATGCCCCACAGGTGATGCACAGTCAACCCAGGACAGCGACACTAGACCCTAGACCAAACTAGACCGAGACATCTTTATCAAAACAGATTAGGCTCACAGATTGTGAATAATTGAATTGAATCACAGTTGCTCAACATTTGCGGCAGTGGCGCTCGTGTAATGTTACTTTTGGTTACAGTGTTTGCGATGCACTTTACAATCAGGCGATAAACATTACACGTGCACTCTTATGACTCAACAAACAGTCTACAGTCGTGGTATTGTACGGTATTATGTGCTATGACATACTCTTCAGAAAGTCTATGTTTTCTAAAAACTGGTCGGAGCTGGTCTAGCCACTTTCCTGTTTCCATCTTCGTTTCCTGCGTTTGTTATTTTATTGGCCGAAATTTTTTCTGAAGAATGGTGTGTACCGACTGTGCAAGCTATCCACTTGTGCTTGTGATGTAACAATTCCCTTGCATCAGGCTGAGCTACTAAAAAAGCGAGAATTTCGTAAAAACTTCAATCACGACAAGATAAATGCCTGGAGTAAAACGTAAATGAAGTGACACAGGAAGCAACGTATGAAAAATGTAGAAAAACAGACAGTATAATTTATTTGAAGGAATAACAAACACTCAAAAAACAAATGCCAGCAGAATGTGGACAAAGTATGCTCACACAAATGCTTAGTTCTTTGACACCTACGAGAACACGTACAAAGTTTCTTGCATTGAAAAAAAGAACGCACGATGAGATGCAAGCTTTAAACACCGAGCAATGCACCGTACAAACATGACTAAGTATCTGCGCCCTCGCAGTTGTTGACCGGCCGAGCTTAGGCTTAAGACAAGCTGTAAAGAGAAAACATTACAGGAGTCTATGCAGGTATTAACTACCTCTAATTTCTTCCATTGCATCACCGACGGTAAATATGAAAATACTTCATCTGTACAATTTCCAGTGCTCAATACTCCACTCTGAAAGTAACAGCTAGAACCAAACCTTAACCGTAACGTTCACCACACTTCAGCATTGCCAATCTCGTCTTGCATCGCCAGAACTTGTTAAGAACAATCGCTTGAACTACTCTTACACATCAACCTAAATTAACTTTTTGAATCTGCTGCTCCTCTGATACAGGTGTCACCTTGACACTTTTACTTGTGATCGAGCTCCAATAGAGTGCCAATTTCATGGCCGTGATTGGCTCCTGTCAATGTTGCAGAAAGCGGCCAATCGCGTTTATTAAATTAAGTGCTCATCGCAACTCAACTACATTTGAGAATGCACTGTGCAACACCTTCATTCTCTGTTCAAATTAAAACTTGATCGGCGAACAGCCGGCAAGCTTCACGGAATAAGTAATGTCTACGTGAAACTCTTGCTATTTATGCAATACTTTGTAGCCCGCTAGAACTTCGTTCTTGTTCTAGTTATTTGCTTCGTAGTGTCCCTCCCAGTGTGTACCTGAAAGCAATTGAAAAATTCACAAGAACATTTTGATAACAACATCGTTCATGACTTCTACCAGATAAGGTAATGTTTGGCCAAAAGGTGGCACTGTTCTAGTCACGCTCAAGTTCATGGAACACTTCAGTGAGTAGCATTAAGAGTATGCGAATACGAAGGGCACGACGGCTTCAGAGACGAATGCGCGCCAGCAGATTATCGTGAAGGCACCGGTTTTGGCTTTGGAAGTCACACTGGCGAAACGCCTTCCTGAAAGGAACCCCTTTGGTCCAAGCACAGCCTTAGAGAGATCTGAAGAAGATAAAAATACCATAGCTTGAAACTTGAGTGACTCGTGGCACTGCTGAAATTAAAAAAAAGAAAAGCAGTGCCATTACCACGAAGACAAAAATGGGACACATGCAACAGAAACACATCCAAACCCATGAGCAAAAATTTCATGGGATGGTGGCTCCCCACAAAGCTAGCTTGCAAATGTATTGGTTGCAATACCGATCACAGGCAGTAACATTTATTTGGAAGTTGCGTCTCCAGAGGATACAATGATATAGCTTTTGCAAATGCTGTGTCCCACCAGCCTTTGCTCAAGGTGTAAAACTAAAGCACATCTAGCTCATGCTGTGGCGATCGGGCATTTATTCTACTTGCCTCATGGCATTTTGATGCTGTGAGACATCATAAATCCTGAATTAAAGGAAAATTTTTTTTTTACTGATTTTATTCACCAGAGATGTTTCCCTGTAACGTTCCCCTGTTATTGCGTTTCCCCATTATTACGTTCACCTGTAACATTCACATGTAACATTCATCTGTGATGTTCGCCTGTACTCTTGATAGTACGAAACGCAGGCCTGCACGCAACATGTGGCATAGTCACAGCGAAAGCTGTAGGAGCAGTCTTTCGAGAGCCTGTTCTAAATGCTTTTGCGGCAATTACTGCAGGTACATTCATAACGTACCCACTGCGCCATAAATCAATTTTTCAAAAGAGGGAAGTAGTCACCATGTCATTATCCATCATTATGTGAAGAAGAGACACAATTAGCATTACGTGAAATCCGAACAGCAGCAATTGTTCGCAACGGCACGGCGCACCTGGTTTGGCAACACTGTGCATGTGCACAGCTGTCCATAGCGATATCTGGTCAGAGTGAGCTACACCACTGCAAATGCATTTCGCTGTGGTGGTAGTCTAGTTGTACGACCACAGAGCCATGCTAGAGCTTAAAACTTCTCGAAAAGACCATATGCGGTTGTTATGTAGGGCAAGAAGTTTCATTCACAGGTGTAGTACACTCGAACCTCATTATAACAAACTTGCATCCTAAATGAAAATAAGTTTGTTATATTAGAAAATTCATTATAAACGTTTATTCTCAACACTAAATTTATTGCGATACTATATTTAATTTACTTCGTTATAACCAATATATCGTTATACCTGGATTCATTATGTCGAGGTTTGATTGTATAGGGTAACAGAAGAGTAAAATACCAACAAGGCATCACGCATGGCTAACTGTACGATGAGTGCGAGGTTTCAAGCTTCTCACGCACTGCAAAGGGCTAGACCATAACTCATTGTCATTAGCCGTGTGTAAAATTAACAAGGTGCGGCGATGGCGTAGTGGTTAGAGCATCCGCCTCGCATGCAAGAGGTCCGTGGTTCAAATCCCGGTACCGCGCAGTTTCCAACCGGATAAAAAAAAAAAAAATCCGCGTGTTGATGGAACTGCATTAAGAGGCCTGGGGTGCGGCCTCACCGGCAAACACCGCCGAGAACGCACTCCCTCACCAGAGAAGGATTGGCCACCCTGGTGCAGTATCTGGCCACTACCTCCCACATGCTTACGTCCAATAACTCACGACCCTCAGTCCCCAGCAGCTGCGAAGCAACTGACCACGGCGGCGGTCAGATCTGCAACGCAGCAGAGGGTGCTAAGAATCTCTGGATCCGGACAGGCCGCCATTGGAACCTGAACTTGGCAACGTTTAATGCTAGAACCTTATCTAGTGAGGGAAGTCTAGCTGTACTATTCGAGGAGCTAGAGAGTGTTAAATGGGATATAATAGGGCTCAGTGAAGTTAGGAGGAGAGATGAGGCCTATACGGTGTTACAGAATGGGCACGTCCTTTGCTACAGGGGCTTGGCAGACAGAAGAGAACTGGGAGTGGGGTTCCTAATTCACAGAAACATAGCTGGCAACATAGAGGAATACTATAGCATTAATGAAAGGGTGGTAGGTATCGTAATTAAACTGAATAAAAGATACAAGATGAAGGTGGTACAAGCTTACGCGCCTACATCCAGCCATGATGACGCTTCAGTTGAAAGCTTCTATGAAGACGTGGAATCGGCAATGAGTAAGGTAAAAACACAGTATACTATAGTGATGGGCGACTTTAATGCAAAGGTAGGGAAGAAGCAGGCTGGAGACCAGGCAGTAGGAGATTACGGCATCGGTACTAGAAACGCCAGAGGAGAGGTAGAACGCAATAATTTACGGATTTTGAATACCTTCTACCGAAAACGAGAAAACCGCAAGTGGACATGGAGGAGCCCTAATGGCGAAAATAAGAACGAAATAGACTTTATAATGAGTGCACACCCTGGAATCGTGCAGGATGTGGAAGTGATTGGCAAGGTACGATGCAGTGACCATAGAATGGTACGGTCTCGAATTCGCCTAGACTTGAAGAAGGAACGACAGAAACTGATACTCAAGAAGCCAATCAATCAACTAGCACTGAGAGGGAAAGTACAGGAATTCAGAGTGTCGCTGCAGAACAGGTACTCGGCTCTTAGTGAGGAAACCAACCTTAGCGTAGATACAATGAATGATAATCTGACGAGTATCATTACGGAGTGTGCAGTGGAAGTTGGAGGCAGGGTAGTTAGACAGGACACTGGCAAGCTTTCCCAGGAAACGAAGAACCTAATTAGGAAGCGTCAAATCATGAAAGTGTCAAGTACAACAGACAAAATAGAACTGGCAGAGCTTTCGAAGTTGATTAATAGACGTAAGGTATGCGATGTAAGAAGGTATAACATGGAGAGAATTGAACACGCTCTGAAAAACGGAGGAAGTGTCAAAGCATTGAAGAGGAAACTTGGGATAGGCAAAAGTCCGATGTATGCACTAAGGGACAAAGAAGGCAAAATAACTACCAATATGGATAGGATAGTTAAAATAGCGGAGGAGTTTTACAGAGATCTGTACAGTAGCCGAGACAACCACGACCTTAATACTATAAGAACTAGCAGTAACCCAGATTACACCCCACCAGTAATAATAGAAGTCAGAAAAGCTTTGGAGGGCATGCAAAGAGGCAAAGCTGCTGGTGAGGATCAGGTAACATCAGATCTGCTGAAAGATGGAGGACAGATTGTGTTAGAAAAACTAGCCACCCTGTTTACGAAGTGTCTCCTGACGGGAAGAGTACCAGAGTCTTGGAAGAACGCTAACATCATCTTAATACATAAGAAAGGAGATGACAAGGACTTGAAGAATTACAGGCCGATCAGCTTGCTCTCTGTAGTATACAAGCTATTTACAAAGGTAATTGCTAACAGAGTAAAGAAAACATTAGAATTCAATCAACCAAAGGAACAAGCAGGATTTCGAACAGGCTACTCAACAATTGACCACATTCATACTATCAATCAGGTAATAGAGAAATGCTCAGAGTATAACCAACCACTATACATAGCCTTCATAGATTACGAGAAGGCGTTTGATTCAGTAGAAATATCAGCCGTCATGCAAACACTGCGGAATCAGGGCGTAGATGAAGTATATATAAACATTCTGGAAGAAATCTACAGGGGATCAACTGCTACCATAGTGCTTCATAAAGAAAGCAACAGAATATCAATCAAGAAGGGTGTAAGTCAGGGGGACACAATTTCCCCAATGCTATTTACCGCGTGCTTACAGGAGGTTTTCAGAAGCCTAGAATGGGAACAGTTAGGGATAAGAGTCAATGGAGAATACCTTAGTAACCTGCGCTTCGCCGATGACATTGCATTGCTCAGTAACTCAGGGGACGAATTGCAACTCATGATTACGGAGTTAGACAAGGAGAGCAGAAAGGTAGGTCTTAAAATTAATCTGCAGAAAACGAAAGTAATGTACAACAACCTCGGCAAGGAGCAGCGCTTCGAGATAGGTAATAGTGCACTTGAAGTTGTGAAAGACTATGTCTACTTAGGGCAGGTAATAACCGCAGAGCCGAACCACGAGATTGAAGTAACTAGAAGAATAAGAATGGGGTGGAGCTCATTCGGCAAGCACTCTCAAATTATGACAGGTAGATTGCCACTATCCCTCAAGAGGAAGGTATATAACAGCTGTATCTTGCCGGTACTTAGCTACGGAGCAAAAACCTGGAGACTTACAAAGAGGGTTCAGCTTAAATTGAGGACGACGCAGCGAGCAATGGAAAGAAAAATGGTAGGTGTAACCTTAAGAGACAAGAAGAGAGCAGAATGGATTAGGGAACAAACGGGGGTTAAGGATATCATAGCTGAAATCAAGAAGAAGAAATGGACATGGGCAGGGCATGTAGCGCGTAGACAGGATAACCGCTGGTCATTAAGGGTAACTGACTGGATTCCCAGAGAAGGGAAGCGGGTTAGGGGGAGACAGAAGATTAGGTGGGCAGATGAGATTAAGAAGTTTGCGGGTATAAATTGGCAGCAGCAAGCACAGGACCGGGTTAACTGGCGGAACATGGGAGAGGCCTTTGTCCTGCAGTGGACGTAGTCAGGCTGATGATGATGATGATGAAAATTAACAATGTGCACATAATTCCTTAGAGATGCATAGCGGGCACGTCCACAGGAAGACTAATATTAGCGTAATGGGTGCTTCCTTAGTTCACAAAAATTGCGATTCGTGGCTTAGTTGATACCTTGCAAATGTGCTTGTACCAGTTGTTTTAAGAGAGGTTAGAACGGTCTTTAGAAAGGCGGTTCTTCTAGCCGTCGCTGCGACTTTCCTCCTAGTTTCGTGTAGTACGTCTTGGCACTTTTCATTCACTTTCTTGACGCTGCGATTGATGAGGCTAGAAGATTATGGTTGAGCCCTTTATAATTGGTAGCCAGCATTGAACAAATCACTCGTTGCACAGTTTGCATCATCCTGTGCCTGTTTGTCATTTTACTCTTCTACCATTCCATGCTGCATCTTCTATCACGATTCCTTGCCCAAAACGATGGCCATACAGGGTCTTTTCGCAAAAGCAAACCAATGGTGTGGCACTGTGGTAGTATACTAGACTACCACGCAGGGGCCTGGATTCAAACCTCGCTCAATTCCTGGATCTTATTTTTTTCTTTCGCATTGTGCACGATAGTGATTAAGGACATCGGTGGTGGCACTGAACAACTACGGCACCAATGACTGTTGTGATCTCACGACAGATTTTATTGAGGCGCATTCCTATTACACTAGGACATCCTGCATATGAAGTAAATGCTCCAAAAACTGATGTTTCCCTGCAGACGTGTCAACAATTTTGAAAATGTGAGAGACACAGCTCACTTTAGAGTTCCAGATGTCGCTGAAGGATGCGTCCTTCCAGATCCTGGTGTACCTTGTTGACCTGGGAGACAATGGCAGTGGCAGTACATCAGTTTTATGCAGCAGGTACGAACAATTATGTACACAAGTCCATGCTCAGAACCATTTGACCAAGGAGAGGATGCTTGTAAGCACACTGAACAGAACCCTTAAGAAGTCATCCTGGCACAGATTATTGCGAATCAATTGTGCGGAATCCGATTCTCAGTATTTCGTGCCCGTGTGCTTCGACTTGATGTGTTGACCTTCGCACTTCCAACTCTGGGCTTCCTGGTTGGCTTAATTGGTAGAGCGACTAACCCTGAAAGGTGTTGGCCCCAGGTTCAATCCCCAGACAGCGACAAATTTTTTTGCAAGTAAGAGGCTCACTTTTGAGAAATCCATATTGACTTCCTAGTGGCTTCTTGCCACAAATAGGTGGTTTTAATGTTCCCTAAGGGGGCAGACTGGTCTTAGACATCTTTTTGTTTATTTCTTAAGTGATCGTGATCAAACTGTACAGGATTATGCAGTTTTTTCAGCTGACTTCAAATATTTAATTAGTTTTACTGCAACTCATCTTGTTCCTGAGATAACTTAAGCTTACTTCCTATTGTTTAAGGCCACCATAAAAAAATTGCTTAAAGAGATATTTGATTGATTGATTTGTGGGGTTTAACGTCCCAAAACCACCATTTGATTATGAGAGACGCCGTAGTGGAGGGCTCCGGAAATTTCGACCACCTGGGGTTCTTTAACGTGCGCCCAAATCTGAGCACACGGGCCTACAACCTTTCCCCCTCCATCGGAAATGCAGCCGCCGCAGCCGGGAATCGAACCCGCGATTGGCGGGTCAGCAGCCACTAGACCACCGACCACTAGACCACCACTAGACCACCATTAGCCACTAGACCACCGCGGCGGGGCTTAAAGAGATATTTAATATGTGCCAACATAGACTAATGACTACAGATTGAAAGTATGGAAGAGTTTTTGTTTTTAGGCCTTTCTTGGTTATTTTACAGCAAAATAAACTATCCATTTTCAAAAGCAGTTGGAATTGTGTTACAATTTTTATGAGTAATTATTAAAAAGGCTTGTGCTCCAAATTTTGCTCCCATACTTGCATTCTACACACACATACAAGTTGCCACTGAAAAAAGAATTATTGTTGTACCTGCCCTAGCTGCATAGATATTGAGGCCTCAAAATTGAACAGCTGTAAATTTACTTTTTTTAGAAAAAATGAAAAAAACTGAAAAACACACAGCTTATTCAAAAAGCAACAATCATGGTGCACATGTTTTGCAATCCTCATGAAGGTGCTCATAAATTCGTAGCAGAGGTACTAACACAGGTGCCGGCAAATTATGAAGAAGCTTTGAAGTCGGTTCCCCATTCTTTTTTGCAGGTTCTGTATGTTAACAGCACCAAGAATCTGGACAGTTAGGACATTAAAAAAAGTTACCACTTCGTGGTGTGTTAGAATTTGCAGAGAGATAGAGAAATACTTGCAAAAAACAAATATGTCAGTTTTAGAAGTCGATTTTTTTCGTCGCTTTTTGGTCCCAAAGACCAGTCTGCCCCCTTAACTCGTTTGCCGCCTTGCGGGAGTCCACAGACATCTGCAATATGATTAGCTAGGTGCAGAGGCCTCACTTGTGTCAATGACCGCTTATGTTCGCCCGATAAAATATTCAGGCACCTTTCACTCTGCCCTAGGTATGGCCTGCCACACGACATCTTTGTTGAGAGTGCCGGACAGTATGAATCCAGAGTATGAACCCACACAGTAGCATACCAACTTACTAGTTCTCTATTCAAGGTCAGTAAGGAAGAGCTAGTACCTTGTGGCTGTATTGCTTGATACGTTGCTTGAGAGTTTTGACGTGGTCCTCGTCTGGCGATGCCTTTGGGTCAACACCATGCTGTTCCAGTTCGGTCTGAAAGTGACCCAGCTTCCGTATCCTATGCTCGTAGTGTTGAAGCTCCTCCTGCCACACACAGAGGCCCAATAGGTTTGAGGAACTAAATTTGTAGTGCTTACTCCATACTTACACAATTGCAGGTTTGACCCATTCTATCTAAATCTGAAAAACCAAATATGGAGCGCGACAAGTGAAACTGAAACTACTGAGAAATCAGGCATGGTTATTTCATCATAACCATGCTGTGGCATGGTTATGACAATATTACATTAGGCTACCATTAACGCATACCTAACTTTTTTGTGTGCAATCCGCACCCTCAGCAACGATTCCCGGAACATTTAAAAAAAACAGTCCCCTTATAATGCTGCGATTCTAGCTTTCCTGCATAGCTGTGAAGTGCTACCATGACGCCACCTTCGAACACAGGAATAAGTTTTTCAGCAATATCGTAATTAAATTTGAGTTATGAAGTGTGATGGCGCTTTGTTTTTTCGCCGTGCAATTTCAGAAATGTCAACCTACATTTGAGTCAACTTTCAAACATGTGAATACAGTACATCATCAAACCACATAACAAGATTACGTTGGAACTAACTGGCGAACTTAAAGCAGATGGTGGCAATGTAACCAGGCAGCATTTACTATGAAAATTACAAATGGTTTATATATGCTGCTAGTGTTCTTGAACTTTAAATTCATGAATATGTCTCGCAGGATTACAAGTAGAGCACGAATGTGCCTAAACTTCATCCTTTTAGCTTCGAATGCCTTGGAGCCATTGCAATTTCATCAGTCAATCGAACATGACACTAGAAGTTTCAAAAAGTGTGCAGAGTTTCAGTGCCTCTGCCTTCATAATATATCTCTCGGAAATTTGTGAAGAGAGCATAATTAAAGCTTCAAGAAGTTTTAAACTCTCAATCGTAAAAATTAGATCCACAAACAAATCTACGGGTACTTGGGTAAAGTCTGCACATCTTTGACAGACTTACAGAGACGAAAAAGCATGCACGAGAAGTTCAAAGGGTCATTTTGATGCAGGACCTGCGCATTTGCTTGTTGCAGCTCGTTTGTCTTGCACGAATGCAGTCAGAGTTTTTCTCTCTCGCGCTAGAACCTGGCAAATTTTCGTGAGAGTGTTCATACCTTGAGAGATTCTAGTTCCGCGGGCGAGAAGTCTCCCTGCTGCGCGAGCTTCCACAGCCGCTGCACTTTGTCCTCAGCGAAGCCGCCCTTGCGCTTCCAGGCCTCCTCGGCTCGGATGTTGAGCTTGCGGTACGACTCGAGCAGGGCCTCGTGGCCCTGCTTCTCCAAGTCTCCCGACAGGAGACCATTCTGCCGCTCCTCCTCGCTCAGCATGTTCAGCTCCACGTCGTCTGGTGCAGCACACACAGAGGTAAGTCAGGCTTAGCTTGAACTACAGTGCAAGCTAGGCTTAACCATCAAACTGCCAGGCAAAGTAGGCTTAACAAAAACCACTGAAGTCACACAACAATACGCAGTTTTTGGCGAAAAGTAAGAGTAATAGGTTTACTGTGCGAAATGCACCGTACGAAAATATTCCATTAAAGCTCTGAAAGCTGCCACAAAGCTCACCCACTGCCGGCAACTGCAATTTTGCCATGGCACGCGTGATATAATGTGCTGCATAAAGCAAAGCTGTCGTCTCCTGCCAAAGATTCAGCTGCTGCCAAGGCATCAAATGTTAACCCATATATTCCCAGGGTCCTACATGTAGGAGGCTTAGACCTTTCAGTGTAACTCGAATGTTCTTTCTGTGAAAAAGGTAGCGCCACCCAAGAAGTGTTTATGAAGCCCTGTCCTCGTCACATGGAAGTCTAGGTGATCGCTGGGCTATAAATTACCGCATGCTTGCAGTCACAAAATGGCGATTTTGTGTGCGTGTAGCCGAGTGCCATACCGCAAAAAATATATATATATACGGTATATATGAGTAATATACAGTCAAATTGTTCTTGATGCCCCTGACATTTTTGTCAATTGTTCTTCAGTTGTTGGGTGCGCAGTAACTTCCGGATGACAGAGATAGGCGCTAAAGTTTTTTGTTCGCCATGTGTCAAACATTGGTGCCCTACATATAGGACGGCTCCAAAATCATTGTTTGAAAGAGGCTTTTTATTTTAAATAAAAGCTTTATTCTGTTTTCTGAGGTCGTGGAAGCAATTATTTAGTGGAAATAAATTAATTTTGTTAATTTTTCCTAAGTTTGGGCATATACGGTTTAACTACTGGCTAAATAAAGTCAGAATAGCTCCACTCAATTTAGTGAATAATGACCATAATATCAAATAGACACAAAAAGCACATACTGACAAATTCCTCACTTCACAAATGCCACAGTGAATAAAGTGCAGGGACAGAAGTCCACATAATGAAACACCTGTTTCAGTACTCACTGGCCAAGTCCTTCTCATTTTTGTCCTGTGTTGCATAGAACTGGTCAATCTTGTCTTGATGGTGTTGGAATTCTTCCTTGAGTGTGCGCAGCTCTTGATCTGTGGGAGACGTAAATGCGCACCACACTTAACCATAAAACTACAATTACTAGTTTAGTGCACTCAAAGGGGTATGTAATTGCAATTTTACTAGATAATATTGCTCAGAATTGAAACCATCAGCTCATGCTGGGAAGTGCTATATGTCACAATGTGTTAAGCATGCACAAATATTCAAACTACCGAATAGTCGCCGAACTTTTTGAATAATCGCCATCGACAGGAAAACCACGAAGGAACAAAAAGTTAGGAGAGCAAAGTATCATATTTCTTGTTTTATTCATTACAAAGATGCATTTAATACAAGCTTTTATGGTACTGTCAAACTATTTACTCATCACGAAATGAATTTCTGCTTTAAACTCGTGATCACTAGTATACTTGACTGACAAACGATTTTGTTCTAAGTTTCACTATTCGCATATCCCAAATAGTCAAATCACTTATGGCATCACATCCTGAAGAAACGTGTATATAACACTCAAGCCTCGTTACAACAAAGTTGCATCTTGCAGCAAAAAAAAAAAAAAAGTTCATTGTATCTAAAAATTCATTATAAAAGTATATCCCTAAGAATATGTATTTCAACACTCAATTTACTTTGTTATAACCAACAGTTCAGTATATCTCGGCTCTTTATATCCAGATCCAAGTGCAATCATCACTTCTCTATTCGGCTCATTCAGAACTTGGCTATTCACATTGTAACCAGCAGTTCTTTTCACTCTTTAACACTTCCTCACTCCTTCAGGCTAACTTTGTTCTTCATGAATCTGGTTTGTTTGCCATAATTTATTCTTTTCCTTAAACTGTAACAAACAGCTCACCTATGAATTCATTTAATTTAGATTGCTCTCTCATACTAACGGCACCTAGGTTTGCCCGTAATTTCAACTTTTTATTGTCTAAATGTAACACCAATTATAAAAAAATGATGTCATTTTTGGCAATAAAGCTTTTGAATCACTTGACCTACTTACTTGATATCTTCTACTTTACGTATATTAAAAAAATTGCACATATAGCTCAGTGGCTTATGTGTATTGCCATTAATTAATGCTTTCCATGCAATTATGACAATGCCATTATGTAATTTTTCAGTATAAAGCCTTACGCGTTGTCAACTTTATAAGTTTTTTTTCTTTCTGTCTCCGTGTAGCATTGTATAAGTTTGCTCTTTTTTGTCCATATGTGTCTTAGTTGTGCTGGTTTAACCAACCCGATATTAAAAATTATTTTTAACTGAGGGTTCCCTACAGCAATTTCACAAACATGTTCTGATAGGCTAGCAAGTTGGCAAGTTTTATGACACCATAAAGGGTTAATTCTTTTTAATTTCTGTATTTTCTGCCATAGCTGTCCTAACGTGAGCTTTAAAAGCAGTTTTGGTTTGTAAGCAGATCTTTTACAGGCAATGTTATGTATTCACTTTTTTTGTAGGACCCAGTACATATATTTTTAAAGCTTTTGCTGGTGGGCATAAAGCACAATGAAATTGTACAGCAGCCAAAGAGGTTTTTCGGTTGTCTTGGTGGGTGTAAAGTAATACACCTTCCAGCATTGCAGCGTACACGCAGAATTACTACAGCACAATTCACACTACGGAGCTGTTCCTTTTAGTGAAACTAATGGATAGCTTACCACTAAGGCCCGCCTTTTGCACTTTCATCCAGAGCTTGTTGAGCTTCTTGTCCCGGAACATGTAGCCTTCTTTGCGAGCCACGTTCGGGTGTTCGGGTGGCTCCTCTTGGTGGTGCTTGAACTGGTCGGACAGGTCAAACTTGTCCACGATCGCTGCGAGGAGGAAGCGATAAAGTTTGAATCGCACCTTCAAGTGACCGGAGTGTGTTGACTGTGCTTAAGGCTGTACTTAAAAGGAGAGTCTACCCTGTCATACAAATATTTTGCACACTGAAATCTCGATAAACAAACTCGCATATATCAAAATAACCTTTATAACAAAGTAAGTTAAGAACAGTCTTGCAATATAGTGTTAGGAATACACCTTTACAGTGACATTTCAATTCTAACGAAGTTAATTTCTTGAAAGATTTAACTTTGTTACGATGAGGTTTGAGCGCATACAAAGATGGCTCTGTAGAAGGACGAAGCTCTCTAAATGTCCACAGAATATTTCAGCTCTGTAAACGTAGACAGAATATTTCACTTTGACAATGAAGTCGATCTTCACATCATGCACCTACTGACAGTGACGCTACTGTTACGCGAGGATGCAGTGTCTTAAACTGAGGTGCCTTCACATGCCAGTATGCCTAGTTGCACACCAAGACATTCAATATGGTCACTTCCGCATCACAAAAAACATTAAATATGGCGGCTTGTGCTTCACCGATAAAGCCACGGAGTGCAGCAGCCATGGAAATGTTTCGACATCTTCCACAAACATGCAACGAGAAGCTCTATACTGTGTTGCAACTTCAGGGTACGGCAGAAACCGAAACGAGCTCTTGAAAACGCAGTGTAATTACTTTTTCATGGTGCACTCATGCTTGAGGCTTTTTGAGACTGGATGTTCAATATGACAAAAAAAAAAAAGAAACATTTTTGTGTCAGTACACCATCAAGCCTAAACATGCGCCCACAGCTTCCTAGTTACAGTTTAGGTTGACTGTTACGGAACATTAAAACTTCCACAAGAAGGGCTTCTAAACTAATCCAGACAGTCTAGCTTTTGTAACTAAATATTTGTATGAAATGTACAGTGCTTGAAGACAACTTGAGAGCACTTGATTTTCAATCTGCTCGAGGAATGTATAGAACATTCAAAGAGGGGAGGTGCAGGAAAACAGCGAAATACCGCGTTGGTAAGCTTGCTAAAGGCACAAAGACATCAGCTTATGAACATCAGTGCGGTGCATACACAAGCAAAGTAACCAAATGAAAAGATGTGCCCGGTACAAAATGACCACAATATAAAAAAGGTAACCAGGCTCGATCGTGACAACTAATAATGAGATTAAGATCACATTGTGTTTAATTGATCTTTGATCACGCAGACAGGTTATTCTATTTGGGAGAGGTTCTCGGAAGATATGATCCAATTTGTGGCAGTCTCAAAGAAGGCTACACTGGTGACTATGTTGTAAAAGGGTGTGAAAAACGGTTAGGTTAAAATGAATCAATGTATGTTGATGTATAAATCAAGCTGCTACAAAAGAAACCCAATCATTCACGTTGAAGCAATGAAAGAAGTTCCAACTTACAGCATTGTACTGAACCACAATGCGAAGTTTCATTCGCATAGAGTTTGTAGCTTAGTGCCGTTTCAGTTTGGCCATCCCGTCTCTGCTAGGGCATCCACAATTTACATGTCACCCTGCAAAGCTGAAGATGTGGTAAGATACCTTTGAGCTTGCTTCGGAGTTCAGCCTCCTTGAGGCCTTCCTTGTCCTGTCCCGCCATTTTCTTCCAGGCAAGCTCTTCTTTGTCTTGTACTTTGAGGTCGGCATAGAGGCCCTTCATCTTGGCGTCACTTAGCCTCTGTTCAAGATAGATTGCAAAGAATAGAAGACATATGCACTCGCACAAACAAATGTATTCATACCAAAGCATATGAGCGAAAAAGACCTGTAAGTGAAGAAGGATACACATTTGGGCGAATCGATCGTACATCGTGTCAAGGAGCAGGGCTGATGGAAAATGAGGACAACAGTATCAGGATACTTGCAAGACTAGTGTGGGCTATCACCTGAAATCTTTCTATTGGAAAAGCAACGAATATGTAAAGGAGTTCTTCGGAACTGCTACCTCACGTGCATACATGGACACATGTGTCCAGAACAAGACGAAAAATATAAAGTACTCTTTACAACTTCCTATGAGTTTTCAAGAAACAATCTCTTTATCGTGGAGAAATACCGAAGCTTGGCTGGCACAGCCTTCTCCAAAGTCGAGAACAAAAAGCAGTTGAGCCGAGAAGGAATCGAGACTTTATACATTAACAAGTTGGAAGAAGGCTGATGCAGCCAAGTCATTGTGTGAGGAGATTGTTTCTTGACAACTGACGGAATGTAACGAAAAGCACATGTATCCATTTCATCATATTTCAGTCGACATCCGGCTTTTATCTTGCCCGTCCCCTCCTTTTTCCATCCGCACGTCTTCTTGACATGTCCAAGTTAAGAAGTCACATCTCACCAAATAGCTAAATAGGCGCTGACAAAAAAAAAAAAAAACACGCTTGGCGTGTTAATGAACCAGACTTTCTCTAATCTCAGCGGTTTGTGTACAACATGAACAGCGAAGACGTGGACACATCACTTACTATGACAGCAAAGTAAACGACGGCGTATCTACTCGAGAGCTTAGGCAGCAAACAATAAGGGTAATGCTCCTTTGAGAAATTGAAGATGCTCAATAATGTGGAGCTCAGTCCTGAGTGACAAAGATTTCATGTCAATTAACGCGTTACGGGCGTGAAGATGGCGATGCAAAATGATACAAACGTGTGCACCGCAACGATTGTGCCGCGCAACTGTGCCTGGAAATCGCTCGAAAGCCTTTCGTATAGTAATTAGCACGAACACTGCTCAAGATTTTGCAAAGACTGGCTCTACTGTCGAAAAAAACGAGCCGCTCGTTAACGAAAACGCCGCGTGAAAGGAACCAGTAATCACCGAAACAAATCGACGTTTCAACAACATCAGTAGTTGCGCTTACCTTCTGTGCCTTCTCCCAAATCAAGTTGAGCTTGTGCATTCGAAACGGTTTTTTCTCGGCGTTAGCGGGGGGAGGTGGCCCAACTTTGTTCATGGCTTCGCTGTACTTGTTACCGCTGTGGGCCCCGGCTAAGCAACTCGCGGAGACCAAGACCACCCCGAGGTAAACGACTTCGCGAAACATTACTGAGTTCAGGTAACGCCCCAACAATAACTTGAAGGTGTTGACTAGATGAGCGAGCCTTCTCAGAACTTCGGCGACCACGCTGATCACGTTGCGAGCGTCAAAGTGAACGCATTAAGTGAACGTCGGCTTCGCCTCACGACTATTCGCACGCTTTCGGGAAAAGCCCACCTACCAGCCGCGTGGCGTCACGCCACGCCTACCGAGTCGAGGCGAATAAGCATGGTGGCCAGCGCCTCTTATGGCGACCGCAGTCGGCTTAATAAAAATTCAGTACTTAGTGTAACGCTGATTCTGCTTTAATCCCGCATTAATTATGAGCTTAATGTTGCGATAATGTGCTTCTTGTGCAAACATTGGTGCACTTCGGAATCTCGTGTGTAGTGCCTGCTGGAGCTCTCAATTCCGCGCTTTAGTTCTTTCGTAGGCCCTAGCGTAGTTCTAAATCTAACGCCTAAAGCAGTTCAACTAACGAGAAACGTAAGAAAGTGCGTACGGCAGGCAACCCAGGTATGAACCCCGGAGGCGCTGCCGTAACAATCGCACGCTTGTCGCAGTGGTGGCGCCCTCTCTGGCGCTGTACACGCATCAGCCGGATGTTACAGAAGTGTTTTTTTTTTTTTAATTTTAGGTAATCATTATTGAGTAGGTCTTGTTTATTTCCGTAGTCTACGCTATTTTAGACCTTGCTTGTTTATTTTGCACCAGTTTTGAGCATTGTCAACCTTGTTATAAACCTGTATTGACCAATAAATAACCATGCGACATAAAATAGTGAATGGATGACAAGCAGGGCTTTAAAAGTGCTATGAACTTATAAGAACAGTTCGGTTTAGCCGTAGCTTGCCCAAAGTATATAAGTGACCCCCATCATCCTGTTGTGTTGTTGTCACTTCGAAGCCGAAGCTTGCTCAAAATAAGCAACCTCTATCATCCCGTTCTCACGAAGAGGCATAAAAGCATGCGTGGATACCACAACATTGCTGTGTTCTTGTAACATGACCGCTGGCACAGTGGGGTTTAATATTCGAACCATAGGTGCACCTCAATATGACTTACAGAGCTGACTTCTCAATTTTTAAAATTTCTCTAGTTGCACTGCCACCTCTGACAACATTGGTTCCGGATTCAGAAGGAGTGGTTGTTACTTCTGGCAGTAGTCAATACGCTTGAGTTACAGATTTCATCATGATGGAACTAACTCTATTCACCTCATTCTGCTCAGAAATTAAGGCAACAGTTACGCCAACTCAATTTTTTTTTCGTAATAATGGTGTGCAACGGTGGAATTTCGTGCAGAACGTTTTGAACACAATGTGCTTATAAACGAGTGACACCACCAGCTTACTGTCACACTATAAGTTAATGCAACAAGGTATTAATATATAACTATGCGGGGTCATAAGGCATGCTGCGGTAGTGGGCAATGTCACAGATAGGTGATGGTGCAACCACAGAGTTTCCTATAAGTACACTACAAGAAACTCTGGTGCTCGTTAATATTGCAGCTGCAATGCAAGGTGCATCAGCGAGCATGGAGATGATGGATACAACACGGATTAGTCTGATCTTCATTCTTTCGGTTCCGTTTCGCTTCGCATGGCCTGCAGCCGCTTCATCGCTACAATGAGCAGTTCCACTTCGCCGCCTAAACCTTTTAGGCTCACTTACCTATTTGAATCAGCTCACAAAGTTTAAAATGCTACGTTCTTTTATTCGAAACGAAACCAAGGCACAACAATAAACGAAACCATAAGTGTGTTAGAAGCTTGCGAGCACGAACACTCGGCAAATCCGTGTACTACCTATCATTCCCATAGTGGCTGAAGGATTGCAGCACCAGAGTTCCCTCTAGCTCATTTTGGAAAACTCTATGGGTGAAACATTTGACACTTTACCGCATCACAAATCTTAATCAAATATCACAGAAAGTTTCATACCATTACCATGTTCTTTAAGTACGTTGCAATGTCATTGGAATTGAAACCTCATACATGTACACGCGATTTTTTTTTGCAATGGCCATGTGCAGTCGTCACAGATTGAAACACAAGTATCAGTATAACAAGTGGTATTTGCAACTGCTCTACAGAACTTTGTCATGTTTCTGTGAATGTGGCTGCTAATTGTTTGCTCTGGTGTATTTCTAGTAGAAATCACGTTATGATACAAGCTGGTAACAGGGAAATGAAAGTGTGTGTAACAGGAAATGAAAGGCACAAGTTGTTATGCTTCAATTTGTGCACTTTGAACACGTCACTGCAAAAGAGCTGACTGTTGTCTGCACTAGCCTGTTTCGTTTTTGCAACAGCGCATTAATTTCACGCAATGTTAGAAGGATGGTACGCTGGTATCATGATCTCGGCAAACAACAAATCGTATAATGCATCCAACATGGGACCCAACCAACAATGCAGGGGCATGCACAAGACACCACCCCAGCACTGTGTGCATATTCCTGTCCCACTAGTTTGGTCTTGTCCTGGATCTACTTCACCATTGGCTGCTACGAAAAACCACCAACAAGCTCAACGTGCAAACAGTTTCACAAACGTAACCTAATCAAACCAGCATACAACGAAGCTAAGGAAGGTACAAGGAATGTTATCCGTAGCTTGTAATTGTGCAATAATAATGACACAAATGGAAAGCTGAAATGGATGAAAAATCAAACTTTTGATTAGAGGGAGCAAACCTGCGACCTTCGGATAACATGATCAATGCTTCTGCAGTGCAGTTTCAAAGGTAGTCAGTTGCTCATCTACTTTATTAAGTGCTAATGTTGTAATCCTGGATGAATGGATTGATATGGCTGTACCCTTTAGATCGGGCAGCGGCTAACGCCACCTAGTCGTAATAAGCACTTAAGAGAACAAAGACTAGATTTGTCTTTTTTTTTTTCTTTAAGAGCGAAGTTACGGAGTAGAAAATTGCAGTGAAGGATTTAATTTTCACTCGTGCCTTGACTGTAGCCACCAATCAGATAACCTCCTCCTAGTTATTTCTACCCGCTTAAAGTCTATTTTGTCCTCCCTGTCCTTAAACCCGATTGCTTTCAAAAACTCTGCGCTATCATCCTGAACTATGAGGTGAAGCCCTTTTCTGGGAGTGTTAGCCAGCTCCACCTGCAGCCATGATGACAGGTATGGAACACCTTTTCTTGCCAGCTAGTGTCACGAAGCACATGATGTTGCTACGTGCTGGAAGCTGTTCAATGGAACCTTGCACGCTAACCAAGACATCGAGTCCGCCCCAATCATTTCTCCTTCGTTAACTCAGCAATCATGCGTCTGTTTTTGGACACATTCACCAGATCACAGCAGACAAACTTACGACCTTATCTTCACTGGCAAGAGTGTTGCGTGCACCATTGCGGAAAATAGGGGAGCAGGAAATAAAGTAGGGGTACTCTTACAAAGCAGGCACAAACACACAGCCCGTGCAAATCCCGGAGAGCACCTTTATTTCACAGCAGTCTTTGAGAGCTTTCAAAAGGCACTTGCAGAATCCCGAGGGGGGGGGCGACCGCCACCAAGACTTCCGAGCGCGGCTGTTCGCGTTCCTGATTGCCAGCTCCGTAACTGGCCAGGGTTTTTTCCATTTTTCTTTTTTTGCCTCGTTCGGATGTCCACGTGTCTGGGTCATCCAGCACTGGACCGGGGCCCGAATCTGTTGGCACAGTGACTCTCTGACTCCCCTCTACCCCCTCCTTGAGGAGGTCTCACTCCGATGCTTCAAATTTCTAAGATCTCTATTGTGTACAGGCTCGGGTCTTCAAATTCGAGTGCGCCCGTTTTGCCGAGGACGAGCATCAACCACTGCTCCAGTTCGCACAAGTCGCCGAACATTTCCTGAACGTGCGACACAGCCGTCGACAGTCTCCTCAACAGATCGCCGACGGCGATTGGCCCGGTGTCCAGGGCCCAGCGGTTGAAGTGAGCATCCAACAGGCACGACAGCCAGTCAATCACTTTTTCGATCGGAATTTCGTCACGATCGGCCAGGGAGTAACTCTCAAGGACACCGATCAGATAGACAAGCAGGGCAGTAGCTTGTTCGGAGTGCAAGTTGTTGCGAAGGCACTGAACTAGTGTGCCGCACGTGTGCGGGCACCGTAGAAGGCTGTGGAGCGTGGCAATATCAGGGGAGCCAGCAGGGGGTGGTGCACCGGTTTGGAACAGACGTCCCACCAGAGCGACGAGGTCTCGTTCTGGCAATGCGTCGGCAACCTGTGTGAGAATAGAATTCACGAGTGAGCTGATGACAAAGCATGGCCTTTTGTACTTCTGACCTGGCTATTTCATTAAAGCAATTGACGCTGGTGGTGCTTATGTAACCTGTTACACATCCTTTAATGCCTGCAAATAGGAATTGGCCATGTCACGGCTTAGTAAAGCCATTTCTTGTGGAATGTCTAACAACACAGAAGACTCGAACTGGGTAAGAAAAGCTTCGAAATCATAGAAATTCTCATAAAATTGCAGAATGATATATGAGCGACCTTAACGCTATAAGGACAACACTCTGTTAAAGTGCCCAGAGAAACATGCACCGCAGTTTTTCAGAAGAATTAGGTACACGGTGACCTTGTTGTAAAGGTCGCACATCATAAGGAGTCTTCTTTTTTATTTACAAAAAAAATGGCGTTGTAGTTTTGTTGCAGCACCAAAAACATGGTATTGCGTCGAATCAAGCAGACCAACATGCATGTATCGATAGCGAAACGAACACCCATCATAGTCAACCGAGAGAATACATTTTACCCACGGAACTAAAAGACAAACACACAGGGCGACATAAGTGAGATGTATTCGCGTTAGAACGAACTAGCCCGAATTTAAGCTTCAACCAATTTCCCCTAGACTCACCGGAGCTAAGGCCTGCATCACGCCGTTGGGGTCTCCAGTACAGACTTTCGCCGCGACCTCCGACGCCGTTGTCAGCACGCCGCCTCCGGCTCGGGCTCCAAGACCGACGACCTGACATAGAGTAGGGCGTCCCAGCTTCACCGACACGCACATCACGTTGTTGCTGCCGGCCACACCACCACCGGAGACAACAAAGCACGCCAGGTCCTTTCTGATGAGCGCCCACTGCTTGACCGCCGTCGCCTGCTGCCCTTCCAAAGTCCTGGACGCCTCCGTCGTGCCGAACCTGACGTTCCACACGAGAACGCTGTCCCCAAGGCCTACGAGTACCCGGCTATCGTCCAAAGCCACGAGAAACGGTTTGCGATGACCGCCTAACGGCAGCTTACGGCCTTGCAGCGACCCGTCTTCACCTAAGCTGAGTAGACCGCCATTGAAAAGGCAAACGGAGGCTTTGTCGCGTTTCGGGATCGAACTCTCCGATATCTGTTCGATTTCTGCGTCTCCGACACGAAATAGACGACACTTGTAAGACCCCGAGGCCTTTGCGGAGACGACAAGCAGCAACGTCGGCAATCCGTTGCGGCCGCCTTCCGCGGCCGCTTTCACGCTCACCAGTTCTTCGTCGTCTCCGCATATCCGGGACTTTTTGGAACGAAAACGTTTGCCCGGAGAGCCCTGAAGTTCAGTTAGGGTCGCGCAGACCCCGCTGTCGAGCACGATCAGAGGTTCACCGCCTGTTCGGTGCAGAACCGCGAAGACGTAGGTCTCGGACGGAGACACGCTCACGTGTTGACTCCGCGCCGGCGTCATCTTGGGCCGGCAGGATCAGCACGCTGTCGCGGCTAGCGGCCACGTAGCGGGATCGTAGCGCGTCGTACACCACGGGGCACGTAAAAGGTTCGGCGTGCGACGTGTGCCACGTCCTGATATTGAAGGGACGCCCTTCCAGTTCAACCAGGGATGCCGACAGCTGGCCGTGGGTCACGATCACGGACGACGACTCCGGGGGACCCGGCTGCACGCAAAAGCCGCCGCGGAACACTTCGTTCGTCACCGAGGCGAGCACGAACGGTTCGCCGATCGAAGTCATCTTGGACTCAGCGGCCTGCGGGCATGCCGGCGCAGCGAGGGCTCGACAAATCGGGTTATTTTTTTCACGTTTTTATCATAGGCGCATCACAAGCAAAACGTGACAAGAGGACAATCCCATGCGCGCCGCCATGTTTAAGAGAAACCTTTGTTGCCAACTCACTTTTGCGGCCTGTAGAAGTGTGTTATGGCGTGTTATGGGGTGTTTAAAACTCAACACGACATAGTGGTTTTTGACTCTTTAGTGTACACAAGCACAGGCTCAATTATGTTTATATTTGCATGTCCTATTACGCACGAGCATTTCGTGATAAGCAAAGCAAGTTAAGAAAATTTTGTTCGAATGCAATCGTACAACTTTTAACTTGTTTGCTTTCCCAAAAAGACAAAAAAAATTGTTTTGAAACTGTACCAAATATTTGTATGGCACGGCAACGAAGTCAAAGTATAACTAATAGACTTTTCTAAAATTGATGTTTAGAAAATATATGATATAACCAGTTGTACCCTTAGTGTCACGTGACTTTTTTGGCGCGCTCTCGGTAGCTTTGGCGCAGTTTGCTTGATGGGTGCCCGTGTCTTAAGTTTCTTGTGACGATTAGGTGGCGAAGACAAAATATCTTTCTAACGACATGTCTCAGAAGAAGATATCGTAAGTAGAGTCGCGTCCGATCGATGCGCGCCGAAGCGGACAGCTTCGGCTCGCTCGATTTTCGGGCCTGAAAAACAAAAAAAATGGGCGCGACTGTGCGCGCTCTTTGGATGTGCTCGTCGCGAGCTACTGGCTTTTGGCGCTGTATCGTGGTCTCCGCTTGCAGCGAGTCACTGATTAACGGCTGCGATCGCCACGGTCTGGCCGTTTGTTCCTCCCGCAGATCGTTCTTCAAGACGTCGACGGCTTCGAAAGTCGTGAAGGAAGAACCGCCTAAGGCCGTGAAGGAAGAACCTCCCGCGGCTGATGCTACACCGTCACCCGAGAAAGATGTCAACGGGTGAGCGATGGTCATTAGACGAACTTGACGCAGTGACCGCGCTGAAACTGACCGCGCCGCTGAGCGTCGAAATTTCCGTAGTTTCAAGCTGCCGGATTAGTCTTGTTTACAAGCCTTGCCCCCCCTATGCTACTTGCCACGCTCATGATTAAAACACAAATGAGCATGACGAAACATGTTACGCGCTACGAAGGACACGGGTGAAAAAAGTGGAAACGGAATTTCCTTGCCGCTTGCGTTTTCACAATCGGTAAACACAATCACAACTCATGACTAAGAAATCTTAGCGCCACAGAACGGAGACAAAAGAAAGAAACGTAGACAACACGAGCGCTAACTTCAAACCAAGTTTATTAGGAAACACACATGAATATATACGAACTCAAATCTCAGAAATCTCACGCCTTCTTTTTTTACACATATATTGTTATACAATGTCATACAAAAACAAAAAATGTAATATCAGGAAATAAACAGGTAAACGCGCATGTGTAAATGGAACCAAGAAAACTTAGAAAAACTTAACAGCCCCCCGAAAAACCCTACAAACGAAAAATATAACACCAACTGCGCAGGCTTAACTCGGTGAAACTATGAAAACGTGCTCATTAGGAATGAAAATTCTTTATCGTGAAGGAGTACAGACGGTTGACTCACGCACTTATCGCCATGTTTTCGGATGATGCAGGCCTCAACTAATTCTCGGGTTAGCTGCTCTCTGTGACGGAATAGCACAGCTGTTTGTTCGAACATTGGAGTGCAGCCACACTGACGGCAATGTAATGCCAAGTGGGATGTCGGTGTGCCTTTCAAAGAGCTGTGGTGCTCGCGTAGACGGATATTGAGACACCGCCCAGATTGGCCCACGTAAACGTGTCCGCACGAAAAGGGCGTCTCGTATACCACCCCTTTTACACAAGACACGAAACGAATGCCATGTCTCATTGTGCACTTGCCTTTTTTACCACTTTTTTTATTTTCACGGTGCTGCAGTCTCGGGCAAATATCCTTCAGTTTACTTTTGGCTGAAAACACCACGTTGACGCCAAAGCGTGCCGCCACTCTCTTAAACCGGTGGGACACTCCGTGAATATAAGGGATTACCGAGAAAGGTCTGCTCCCTTTGCATCGTTCCGTCGGCGCCAGCTTACCACCTGCTCTTATGGTTTTAAGCAACCTTTCACTAACAGCGGCTATAACAGCATCAGGGTACCCTGCCTGCCGCAACTTAACTGCTTGTTCACACATGCTTTGTCGAATCAGGTGCGGGCATGACTTTGAGATGGCAGACCGGATACAGGAGCTGGCTAATCCGTTCTTTACAAGTCTGGAGTGACCAGACTGGTAGTCGAGCAAGCCCTTTTGAGACCTTGGTTTATATCGCCAGCATATACTATCAGGGCTAAATGCTAACTGGAGGTCTAAATACTGCAAAGCATCGTTCCGGGGTACCTCACATGTGAACGTCAAACCGTGCCCTTGCTCCCTGAACACCTTCATTACATTAATCATTTTTCTGATAAAAACACACCTGTCCACGAAAACCAAGTAATCGTCAACATAACGAAACACTTTGATTGCCAGATCAACAAGACTACCCTGTATAGCCCTGTCCACCTTTGCCAAAAATATTGTGCTCAGAATAGGCGCGACACACGAACCGATACATACGCCAGATTTCTGAGCAAATACTTTCCCTTTCCAAGTGACGAGTGTCGCTTCCAGGTAACACCTCAGTACCTCGAGGAACCCCTCAACTGACACACCTGAACGAGAGGTGAACTCATGTTCGTCCTCTTGATTCCCAATACACTCCTTTACACTCTGCAGAAGAGGGGCTTGCGGTAAGGAGTAGTAAAGATCCTCGATGTCGAGGCTAAATGCCCTTAAGCCTCCCGAGTCGTTGTTCCTAAGAAAATCTACGAGCATATCCGAACTGGCCACTTGAAAAGGGTCAACCACAACCAGAGATTCAAGGTTCTTTTGAAGATATCGGGACACTATTTGAAGCCAAGTGTTCCTTTCAGAAACTATGGTACGGAAGGGAATGTCAGGCTTATGGGTCTTAGCGGTAAAGAAAACATCTAGAGTATCACCCATTTCTTTCTTTACCTTATTGACCAGTTTATCTAAACTTAGGCTTTTGAGCAGTTCCACTGCTCAAAAGCCTAAGTAAGAGCAGGTGGTAAGCTAATAAGCCTAATAAGAGCAGGTGGTAAGCTGGCGCCGACGGAACGATGCAAAGGGAGCAGACCTTTCTCGGTAATCCCTTATATTCACGGAGTGTCCCACCGGTTTAAGAGAGTGGCGGCACGCTTTGGCGTCAACGTGGTGTTTTCAGCCAAAAGTAAACTGAAGGATATTTGCCCGAGACTGCAGCACCGTGAAAATAAAAAAAGTGGTAAAAAAGGCAAGTGCACAATGAGACATGGCATTCGTTTCGTGTCTTGTGTAAAAGGGGTGGTATACGAGACGCCCTTTTCGTGCGGACACGTTTACGTGGGCCAATCTGGGCGGTGTCTCAATATCCGTCTACGCGAGCACCACAGCTCTTTGAAAGGCACACCGACATCCCACTTGGCATTACATTGCCGTCAGTGTGGCTGCACTCCAATGTTCGAACAAACAGCTGTGCTATTCCGTCACAGAGAGCAGCTAACCCGAGAATTAGTTGAGGCCTGCATCATCCGAAAACATGGCGATAAGTGCGTGAGTCAACCGTCTGTACTCCTTCACGATAAAGAATTTTCATTCCTAATGAGCACGTTTTCATAGTTTCACCGAGTTAAGCCTGCGCAGTTGGTGTTATATTTTTCGTTTGTAGGGTTTTTCGGGGGGCTGTTAAGTTTTTCTAAGTTTTCTTGGTTCCATTTACACATGCGCGTTTACCTGTTTATTTCCTGATATTACATTTTTTGTTTTTGTATGACATTGTATAACAATATATGTGTAAAAAAAGAAGGCGTGAGATTTCTGAGATTTGAGTTCGTATATATTCATGTGTGTTTCCTAATAAACTTGGTTTGAAGTTAGCGCTCGTGTTGTCTACGTTTCTTTCTTTTGTCTCCGTTCTGTGGCGCTAAGATTTCTTAGTCATGCATCGTTACCAACCTGCCCAACTCGCCGCAATCAACAATCACAACTGGCAGTAACGTGGTTAAACATTAGTGCAGTAAAACAAGCGAGAAACATCGTAGAAAACAAGAGACCTAGTCCGGCCAGGCATTTTTCACTGGAAACGTATTTGTCGATTTCATTTGACTTCCGTTAGGTGCGCCAGCTGCTTGTTGACACCAATTTATTCGCAGTATTAGTTGAGGCGTAAATGACTGAAAAATATGGTTAGCCACAATATTAAGCAGATATAGCAATCATGCCAAGGAAACTATAGGGGATAATATTAGAAGTAATGTAAATGGGAAGAAAGAAAAGTGGATGACCAGATAACGTGCCGTGGGCAGGAACCGAACCTGCGACCTTCGAATAATGCACCTGACACTTTGTCAGCTGAGCCACCACGGCTCTTGGTAATTTCGGGAAACTCTATGGTTCCAGGCACTGGACGAGCATCGCATCCTTTCTAAAATTATTCATCTCGTTTTTAATTTCCCGTTAAAGACAGCATCCATGAGACTTTACTGTTTCACTTTTTTTTTTTTTCATGCAGTCACGATGCGTCCCCCGTAAAAGCACCGACGAGGAGGCGCATCCGCATGATCACTGACAGCGATGAGGAAGAGGAGACGGACCAGAAGAAAGCGGTGCCAGACAAAAACGAGGAGCTGGCTGTTCGGTCAAACAGCAAGTCTTTGTCGCCCCCTGCCAACCCCAAGGAACCGGTCAGGGGGAAGCGGAAAACAGGTACGGCTGAGAATGGTGAAAATACTTGTTCCTGAAACCTGTAGGATGCTTCAGCTTTTCGTTTAAAAGGACACTAAAAAGAAACGATGATTTGGTTTAGATTGACAAATTGTACTCTGAGAACACTAATGCCATGTTTCATTATTATAAAGAGGAGACGAACCAGAAGAAAGCGGTGCCGGACAGAAATGAGGAGCTGGCTATTCCATCAAGCAGCAAGGCTTCGCCGCCACCTGTAGAGTCCGAGGAACCGGTCGCCGCGAAGCGGAAAACAGGTACGGCCGAGAATGGCTGAAATATTTGTTCCTGAAGCCTGAAGGATGCTTCAGCTTTTCCTTTAGAGAGACACCAAAGAAAAACAATGACTTGGTTTAGATCGACAAGTTGCACTCTGAGAACACTAATGCCATGTCCGACTGTTGTAAGCTCCTTATTAGCCTTGTAAGGTTGGGGATTGGAACTCCTTGCCAAATGGAACATTCAGCTCTCATGACCTTTTTAGTGATTTTCAGGGCCATGCTTTCAGAGCACCCTTAGTTCTTACCGCTTCTACTTTCCTTGTTTACATATGTCTTGATGGCCCTATCTATAAAATTGTTGTCCTACTAGCTTTTATGGTTCGTTTTGTCTTGTGTTTCCCTGTTGCGTTGCTTGTATATGTAGTTTTGCATTGTATGTGAAGCCCATGCTCGTTCAGCCAAATTTTGGTTTGAAGTATTTCAAATAAAAAAAATGAAGGTTGAAGTTCTATTTAAAAATTTCGCGCCTTAACATCCGCACGTGATGCAAAAATGTCGGCGTGTATTTTTCGTATTTTCGGGACATTGGCTCGATGAAGTTTTCCGAAACTTAGTATGCTAGGTCTATAGCGCCCACAGAGGACGATGAACTTCATTTTTATAGATTAGGAGCTATGAGGGACCCAGTAGACGACTTCAAGATCTCTGACATCTTGGTGTATGGTTCGGGAATCTCGATGTGCCGTCGCGACTCGTATTTTCTTTTCGCACGCTTTCTTGCTTACGAAGTGTCATGTCGTGGTAAGAGTGATGTTTTAAGGCTTGGGAAATCGTATTATATCATACGTGTAACATCGTTTATCTTTTTGGTGTCCCTTTAATAGCAGATATCAAAAGCGTAACCACTCCCCATCTGCATTGGCTTCTTAATCGTTAGGAATGATACTACAAGGAAATTAATGCCTGTGCAAGCAGAGCAGCTGTTTCAAACTACCCTAGTGCAACTACGTTTTTGAGGTACCATTAAGTCATAATTGACAGTATTGTTTAAGAACCCACAACTTATTCATCATCAGCCTGACTCCGCCCACTGCGGAGCAAGGGCCTCTCCCATGATTCGCCAATGAACCCGGTCTTGTGCTTTCGGCTGGCACGTTATAGCTGCGAACTTTTCAAATCTCATCGGCCCACCTAACTTTCTGTCTCCCCATCATGTGTTTGGCTTCTCTGGGAACCATTCAGTTATCATTAATGACCAGCGGTTATCCTGCCTACGCGCTTTGTGCCCAACCCACCTTAATTTCTTCTTCTTGATTTAAACTATGATATCTTTAACCCCGTTTTTTTCTCTGAGCCACTCTGCTCTCTTCTTGTCTCTTAAGGTTACAGCTATCATTTTCCTTTCCATTGCTCGCTGCGCCGTCCTCAATTTAAGCTTAACCCTCTTTGTAAGCCTTCAGGTTTCTGCTTTGTAGGTGGAATGTAATATAACCAAGAACAATGTAATATTCCCTGTTACTATAATCACACTGCTGGCATAACAGCCGCGAAATCTAACATTTGCCCGCAATCTTTTTAACAGCGGCTCAAAATTTTGGAAGCTTCAACTCATTTCTTAATATTATACCACCGTAGCATCCTTCACGCCACATTTGAGCAGCGCACTCTGTGTCCCATAATTTTGTAAAATAGCACACAAAAAACATGTGGACGTAGCGAAAAGACCACATGGGCGCCAGCTTTCAACTGACGTTGTTGTCTTGTTGCTGGGTCCACGTGTTTTCTTGCACCGTTTTACAATGCATTACCAAATAGCTCGACTTTCTGCCCTACTGCAGACCATTGCTCTGGTTATCGCTGTTGGTGTTCCATTTTGTAAAACCATAACACGCACAGCAAACCAGTGTAATCGCACTGCTTACTGACCACATGGTGGGAATCATCGTTTTCGTGAAGAAGTAACCATTATTGCATGGGTAGTTCGTTGGAAATTTGTTCATTGTTTATGTTACTTGCTGTATTTTGTTTGTGTTTTATCTCTTCTCCTCTACAATGCTCTTGGCCTTGCGGTAAACAAATAAATAATTTCTGGTAACTCATCTGCATCGAAGATCAAGCAAGTGGCAAAGAGATATATCCTTAATTTTGAATGATTTTGCATATTCGCTCTCATTTGTTGTGTAATATTAAAAAATGTAGTCATAATACCGATATTGTGCTGTTTGGTTACCGATTTGGCGATAAGGCTAAATGGCGTGGCTACTTTGGCTTGAATTCTGGCTCTTTTTCAACGGCAAGCCTGTGCCTACTTCCAACCATCCCCCGAGGCAGTCAGTCGCCTATGGTGTCGCTTGTTGAACTGTATGCATCGTTGCTTCAACTACCAGTTATGGTTTTATTGCCACTTTAAAGAATCCGAGATGCACGAAGCCAACAAGAAGGCGTGCGTAACGCAGAAGCTTTTTGAATATTACATTTGGAAGCTGGACAAGAAGTTTGAGTGGCAAGGATGCAAAGATTGAATGATTGTCTACAATTGCGCTGCACATGGCCACATCGAGGACCAGAAAGCCATGCAAGTGGAATTCTTGCCGTCAAACACGACGTCGCTACTAATTTCTTGGCCCATGGACCAAGGAACTATTTGGACTCTCAAGCAGCTCTGTCGGTCACGCGTTCTTAGTTGCATGGTATTATGTGTGGACAGTCGCAAAAGCTACGCAGTTCACTCGCTGTCTCCTCTCGGCATTCTTTCAGGTGCCGGAAGGCTGTTTCGGAGAAAACAATCCCCAAATGTTTCGGCCATACATTTCGCCGTCAAACGTGAAGTGCCCACATCATCTAATGATAACAGTAGCCAATCCGATTAACACTGTTAATCTACCGACCTTATTGAACATTTCCGCGCTGCAGGCACCACTCCCATGGAAGCGATGCTGGAGGAGTTCGCTCGCGTCGACGACAAAATCGAGCCCTGTGCCAAGCTTACTGACGATGAAGTAGTTCTCCAAGTGCTGGAAGATGGTGATGCGAACTCTGACAACGAGAAGCCGGAGACTGCGTTGCCTGCTAGAGCCAAACTAGCGCGAGCCCTCATGGTGCTCTCTACTATTTACAGCGGGAACGTCACCCTCGCTGACGTGAAAGCTGACATATTGGTACGGCAACGTTACGCCTCACAGAAACATATTCAACAGGTGTTCAAGCCGCTCGGTTAATATCGTTTAATAAAATGACCTTTATTGCGTGAATTTGCTTTTTCAGACTGTCTGATTTTTTGTACTTTTTTTTGGCCACTTGAGGGTCAAAAAGATCGGTCAGCGACTATTTCGATATTACTTCCGAGCATGCTTCTATTTTGTTACCTTTAATGGTTGCCGCAAGAAAAATTTTCGGTTGTAGTTTTATTATGTCAAATTAAAGGCAGAGCCTTCAAGAAACTGGAAAATATACTGCTAAGGGCGAGCGCACCCTGAAAAATTGCCCGCAGCTTCCCTCGGGGGAACACTGAGGAGGATGCGGACCATATAATTGGTTAACGGGGTGTTAAAGTGCGACTTACTTGGGTCGATGGCTAAATTGGTTAACGTGGTTGTGAAAGGGGGTGTTAAATTGCGACTTACTTGGGTCGATGGCTAAATTGGTTAACGTGGTTGTAGGAGGGGGTGTTAAATGAGTGAACACGTACACACGTATGCGAAAGGGCGGCGCTGGTCGAAGGGACGTCGATCATTGTGTTTGTGGATTCGTTGGAATTCATTTCACCGCGACCTTGGACGTCGACGCGCCGTACAAACCAACCGACGAGCGGCAACTGAGCGAGCGATCGCCGACCTTGAGTATATATACAGCACGACGGCGCATGCACTGTCAGCTGTTGAATGTTCTCGAAGCGCGACGCCACATGCGCGTCCACTGGAGAATCAGGAGAATTGTAGATGTCGAACGCGGTGTGTAGAGGAGGAAGGGTGCACAGATGGTGGAGGAGTGAAGCGCGCGCGGTGTGTAGAGGAGGAAGGGATGCACAGATGGTGGAAGAGTGGGCGACGGCGCATGCGCGCGCGTCAGCTGTCAAATGTTCGAGAAGCGGTGCGGACGGCGCACTACAAGGCGCGAGTATAAGATGCTCCGCATCTAAAAGTACCCACAGTAAGTTTCTACAAGCTAGTTTCAGTTCCTGCTGTACCCTTATGTCGCAAGACAGTCTGAGCCCCGTGGCACATGCTGGTGGAAGATGTTGTGACATTTTGAGGACCGTCCCGCAGCATGGATCCGTTGGTAACACAGAAGCGGGACGCTTTGGTGACGTGAAAGCGGCCATTTGGAACATTTGGTGTCTGCTGTCGTTGCATTCAGCCCCACTGTTGCATGAAGTTAAGAGAATTAGTATCGTAGCCTGTCGCCAAGCTGGTGTCAAGGTCAGTAGGTGTGCCAGAGGAAAATTGATTTTGATGTCATAATAAAATATCTTAGCATTTTCTTAGCTACAAACTTACTGAGAACTACCTCCGTATACAGGAAACTAGTTTAAAAGGTGCTTGTGCGCTTCTTCGTAAGTCACTAACGGCGTATGGCGGCGCACACTTGGTTACACAACGAGCGCACGCACGAAGGGACCACACAAGTTTTGCAGCGCTTGTGTTGTCCCTTTGTGTGTGCGTTCATTGTGCAACCGGGTGTGTTCTGACATATGCTGTAGAGAAACATGTACTATTGCAGAGTAAGCTTGCCTTCAGAAATGGTGTCGGTACCCCTCTATCGACCAGCGGTTACCTTGCCTTCATGCTACATGCCTGTTTCTTCTTGATGTTGATTAAGATGCCCATAACACATCTTTGTACCCCGACCCACTCTGCTCTCATCTTATTGAAAATGAAATTGTTCTTTACATGGCTAGTTTCCCATTCTGCTTTCCTATTCTTTCATACTTATATAGCGTTAGTATCCACTCCTGCAATCGACTCCTATGATTTTGTAGGAGGCTCGTGGGAATAGTAAATTATATGTTCCAAGTGAGTAGTGATTTGGTCAAATATTTTTGAATCAAATTCGAATAGTATAAATCCCACACTATACAGGAAAATTACCATATTTCTCCTGACCCCACCAACCTGCTCAATGTATTAAAATTCAAATAAACCATGTGCAAATGTAATTGTTTTTGGTTCAGAGGAAGCGGAAGCAACTTTGAATCCTAGCAGGATTTGGCTTTCAGCAGAATGTAAGTGATAACCTGTAAAATGTGTCGCATTTAACATTTATTGTACTTGGAGCATATGAGCCTTTATAACGAGCTTGTAAACTTTAAAGAAATAATGAATCGATGTGAGGGTAATTTGCTAATGTAACCTTCAAGTGGGGCTCTACGGCAGTTCGGATTTTCACGAGATAGCAACCCTTCGCAGCAGCGAAGGCACCTTTACAGGGGGTTTGCACGCGGACTAGTATACACCTACTCGTTCATTCCAAGTACTTGGAAATTTTCAATAATTTAAAATTGAATCTAAGCATATCTGAATATTGTAATATTTCTTATAGTATTTTAAGTGCCCAAATATTCACATGAGCTAAACCTCATTATAAGAAGGTTACACCTGCTATCAAAATACGTTATATCAGAAAATTCATTATATGTATACCATTATTTGTTACAGTGAATTTATGGCAAAAATATTGGTCGCTTACTTTGTTATAACTGATAATTCATTATATCCGAATTTGCTATGGTGAGGTTTGAGTGTATTTCATTAGAGCAAATAAACTTTTGTTGTTGCTCTTGTGCATTTCTTCTTTTACTGCAGCTCGCAAGTCAGCCAAGCGAAGCCCTGAGCCCAATCGGTTGTCGACCGAGTCGGACGCCAAGCGAGTAAAAACTGAGCCGACTTCAGAGAAAGAGCCATCGTCACAGGAACCATCTTCTCCAGCAGGTGCGTTAGAAGGGAAGTTCATTAGCAAATACTACTGTCTTTCATTATTTTATTCCTCATAATTCTTTAACTGTTGTACACATATGTCTCAGTGCACGGAGAAATTAATGTTTGAGGAGACAAATTTTTTGGTCCACGCATGAACAGCATGTGTAGGCAGCCCACTATCATATTAGTCTACAAGGGCTTGACTGCAGTGGGCGCGGTAGTAATTATGTAAATGACTAGTCCTGCCCTAATATATATCGTTGATCCGCACTCTTCGCCAAAATGTTACGAGGAGAAAGGCGTCTGAGGATGTATTTACTATGGATTTACAGGCAAGGGTACAAGATGGAGCCCAGTCTGCACGAGAGATCAAACATCATCTTCTTTCCTATCGAGTTCATCTGTGGCACCCCATAGCAGTGTGTTATATAAGCAGAGGCCACAAATAAAGACGGGCATTTAGGATGCGACTCAGCTGCATATGGTGTCTCTTTCGAAGTGCTGCGCTGACTAGGGAATTACCCTTACCAGCAGAGCGTCTCAACAGCGACCTCTTGAAATGTATCAAACCAACCAGCCTTGATAGTCTTTCTTTTAGCTCAGTATACCGTACTTGCTCAAGTCTTACGTGCCCTTGAATTGAATTGGCACACAAGTTTTGCAGTTTTGAACTGAAGGTGCATTTGAATGTGTTCTTACCAGATTAAAGAAAATAAACATGACATGCTACTGTGTTGACCATTAGAAGCAAGAGGAAGACAGTCACAGATTGCATTCATGGAATGGGAAATTTCATGGCAGTTTGTTCTGTGATCTGGTTTTGCTAGCTTTAGCATAACTTCTGTATACACTTTGATCATGAAAAACTTCTAAGCACATAGAAATATGTTCATGGGCCAATGCATGAATCCTTCTGGTTTTCAGAGAACAAGAAAGTCAAAACTGAACCACCTGCTTCGCCTAAACAGGAGGAGATGGAGACAGACTCCAAACCTGAATCAGGCAAGCATTGTATTATTAATGTACAGTTGGGACGAATGAAATGCGGACAAGAAATCGCAGAAGCGGAACAGCTTCAGTAACAGGCAGCTATATTGCGCAACCCAGCATTTGTAAATAACATTGTTGCTGACGGTCTCTCGGGCCTCTTCTACTACCGTATTTACTCGAATGAAACCCAACCTTTTTTTACTGACTTTTGCTACCTTATTTCAACCCTTGTGTTACAATCGAATATTGAAATTCAAGTTGTGTAAAAGTGCAAATATGCATACATTTTTTCATATTTATTTAATCTTTTTCTTCCTAGACAGGCGTTACAATCGTGGCCACATTACGATCGATATATAAGGCAACTAGAATGCGGAATCATGCCCACATTATGTGTATTAAGGGGGAAACCAAATAGGATTATGTTTTTTATGCCTAGCTTGTTTTTGCATTAATGGTTTATAATTGTGCATAGTCGAGTCAAGAATACAAAGTGATGAAGCTGGCCTTTTTTTTTAACGATCATATCAAGCCATTCTTAACGAAATGTCCTGTATGTACTCCAATAATTTCGTATCTGGTTTGTAATCTTGTTATCTCAATTTGATGATTTATATGTAATCTGCTTTTGAAGGACTCTGGGCGTGCCTACTTACAAATAGACGAAAATTTAATATAATGAACCTATATTAGTTCTTATCAGATGCAGCTTGGTTGCAGTGTATGAAATCTTGACTCATTAAAGAAGGAAGATTTGCTTAAAGGGCTCTTTCCTCTGTTAAACATAATCAAACGAATGTAATCAGCATTTAGACCAAAGAAAGCATAGGAGACAATAATTCAACTATATTATGACATAAATTGATATAAATTGAAGTGGAGAAAAAGTTGCCTGATCCATCGGTATGGTTTGAATTCCCAAGTTTTATTGGAGGCCCTGGGTTTCGGTCACGATAAGGGTGGAATTTCATTCACTATATTTCATTTTAATTTACACCATAATTGCTACAATAAAGTTGGAACTCACAGATAATGTTCCCTCTATGCTTTTCTTGGCGTAAATGTCTGTTGGATTTATTTGGTACTAGTGTTTTTATTTACAAAGTATATTGTACATAATAAACTTGTATTAGTACGTATCAGACACAAATTCGTTGTAGCACGTATAAGAAATCTTGAATTGCCTATTATATGACAGACAGCTCCCAAGTATGATTGTGCAATGCCCATTCTTCATTGCAATTGCTTTTTGTTCCAGATGAAGAAGTTGAGGTGAAGAAAGAAAAAGGAAAGAAAGACAAAGAAAAGAAAGAAGAAAAGGGCAAGAAAAAAAAAGTGGACGACAAAAAAGCAACGAAAGCCTCGCCACCAGTGAAGAAGGAAGTTAAGGAAGAGAAGCCATCTGCGATGTCCAAGTCATCGCCACCGAAGGACGAGAAAGCTAAAGAAAAACCGAAGGCTGAGAAGAAGCTCCAAAATTTGTGAGTGCTGCTTTGGTGCTGCTGCTTCCTACATAGAGTTACTTTATTTAGAGTGGTTATGAAATTCTTTTCTTTGATGTGGTTTCAAATGAATTGGCAGGAACGACCGGTTTGCTGATCGCAGTTTACCGTATTTACTCGCATAATCCTCGCACTTTTTTCCCAAAAAACCCATGGAAAATTGAGGGTGCGATAATTACGTCGGGAAAATTTTCCGCGAAAAGGTACAGCGCAAGAAAAAAAAAAAGAAAACGGCCACGAATTGCAGTTTTTTCACAAGCAACTAAAAGCTTCAAAAAGTGCTGATATAAGGCTTACCTTTACGATGAAACTACATGTTCAACCCAAATCAAGGTTTATTTGCACAGACTAAAGTCACTAGCTAATAAGTCTCTTCGGCGAACTACTTGGAGCCCGTGTGAAGACTGCCATCTTCGTCGCTCATAGCAGCGTCATCGGACTCATCGCCAGCTTCAGCGTGGTCTCCCTCGTCATTTTCGTGGACCACGTCGTCCTCCGTCCCGTCCTAGGCATTGAAGATCCCAGTCTTTTTGAAGCTGCGTACGATAATTTCTGGCGAAATCATGGACCATGCCTCGATTACCCAAGAACAAAAGATCTCCACCGATGGCTTCTTTATCTTGCCTCCGGGAGTCATTGCGTGACCGCCTTCGGTCATCCATTCCGAATACAGCCTCCGAACATTATCCTTGAACGGCTTGTTCAAGGATACGTCTAGAGGCTGCAACATCGAAGTCAGACCGCCTGGAATGACAGCGAGGTCAGTCTGCAGCTCCTTCAGCTTCACCCGAACCGAGTCGACCAGGTGACCACGGAAGCTGTCGACAACCAGCAGCGACGGGTAAAGAAGTGCTCCAGCGCAGCGTCCCCAAACAGTTTTTACCTAGTCGACGATAAGCTCGGCGGTCATCCACCCTTTCTCCTGTACATGCACGTGTATTCCAGGGGGAACCTTGGCCTTCGGAAGGGTCTTCCGTTTAAAAATAAATAGGGGCAGCTTCCGCCCGTCCGCTGTTACAGCGAGCATGACGGTGCACCTCTGCTTCTCGGCACCCGTTGTTCTAATATGCGCACTCCGCACACCCTTCTCCTCCACCGTTGTGCTTGGCGGCGTGTCGAAGTTGAGCGGAGTTTGATCGCCGTTTCCAGTTTGTGAGAGCAGAAAGTTCTTTTGCTCCCAAATCCTAATCACAAATCGATGAAACTCGATGACCTTATCATCGTACGCCGAAGGTAGCCGTTGACACATAGTCGTCTGTTTCCTGAGTGAGAGTCCACTTCGGCGCATAAACCGTGTGGCCCACCCGTTGCTCGTGCGGAAATCTCGCGCTGGGATGCCTTCCTTCTGGGCAATTATGCGCACCTGATTTCTCAGCAGCTCCATCGAAACGGCACACCCGTCCGCGCGTAGACTCTTGATGTATTCGAGTAGTGCCCGCCTCAACCTGTGGGTACCTTCCAGTCTTAGGCCCACGGAAGGCCTTGCGTGACTTGTTTGTGGCTTTAAGCTGTTCTTGCTGTCGTCGCCAGTAGCCCACACAGAACTCGTCCACGCCGAAGTGCCTGTCGGCGGCCCTGTTGCCGTGTTCTAGAGCATGGTCGATGACTTTTAGCTTGAAATTAGTTGTATAGTTCTTGTATCGGCTCATCACGTAGCCGCAGAAAGGACGATGCTAGTCATGGATCACAACTGCGCTACCTCAGAACACCGCACCACAGACCGCACTACTAACACTAGTGCCGTGCCACAAGTGCTACTACGCAACTTGTGGCTTGGTTTGAATTGGATTAGAGCTTCGTTCTAGCAAGTTAGTAATTGTTTCTCTTCCCTTTTGAAACAGGGCACGCGTATCTCGCAACACAGGAATAAAAGTAAATAAATAAATAACTAGTCTGTTTGTTCACTGGCCAGGTGTCAGTTTCCTTAATGCGCGTCAGAATTTCCTCAAACGCTCAAACACACACACAAGCAAGCGCCCAATAGTTCGTTGTAAGTCGAGCCGAGCCAAGGCTAGCCGTGTTCTGCACCTGTTCTATGGAGGAAAGAAAAACATGACCTGCTTCATTCATGTGGTTTAAACTTATCTGACAACGGCACTGGGATGTTTACTCTGACAACGGCACATGTTGAATCACTTTAGTTTGCCTCCGACTCATCGAAATCGAGTGACGGGTTGCGGGTGCGCTGGGTTTAAGAAGAGGAGGGTGTGTGGGGCGTTTCCTTGGCCGATGTGTTTTCTCGGCCCCTCTGTTAAACTGGTCCCAGCGTAGCAGGCGAGTCTTCGTGGAATTTACCCGGTTGCAATGGGTTTCATCAGCATGCATGATGCATAAGAGATGGTGCTAGGCTAATGGGTGCTATTATCATCATTGGCTCAAAGCAGCAGACGACATCTGCTGCTGCGATTTTTGGGGTGCGATAATTACGCAAGGAAAAAAAAATTGCATCTTTGTTGACCGATGTTGGGGGTGCCAGGATTACGCGAGTGCGAGGATTATTCGAGTAAATACGGTACTTATTGTAATAGGAACATGGTCCCTGACCTTGACTTGGGGTTGTATTTGTTTTTAGCTTTTTGCACTGTATGTTACTCCAGCCCAATTTTCTTGCTTGTGAAAGTTCTAGCTGAAAGTGCTGCTTTGGGCACTTAGAATAGCGATATGCATCTTTCTAGTGGACTACTTTGTATGACCCGAGCGTCAAAATACAGGACTGTCTTAGGTTGTTTTTTTTTAATTCTTATGGCTCACATGTGCGAGCTCTGTGCAACAAATGCACTTCTAAGCTAGGCCTAGTTAGGCTTAAGCTAGGCCTAATACTCACTTTCATTGCCTCAGCTAGACCTAATGCTTACATTTGTCACTCCAGCTAAGTCTAATCCTTACCTTTATTGTCTCAGCTAAGCCTAATGCTTACATCCCGCGTCATTTGACATTTGTATCATTGCACTAATGACAGCTGTGCAGTCGCGCTGAAAACAGTTTACTGGAGCAGTTCCGGCACTGACTAGTTCAGTGAACAGCATTAGCAAAGACATCATATATGTCATATATGCATCATATATGTCAGCACGCGTCAACTGAGAGATAATGCAGCAGTACACTCTGCTTCTTGCCATGGCTGCTTGATGGCTGATGATCATGGGATGGGTTCAATTTTTAGCTACCATATTGCACTTTTGTTGAACAGAATACAAAAACACCCCGGCACTTTTACTTGGGTTGCATGTCATGCAAGCGTGTGTTACCAAAATCGGTTTGAAACCGTTTGCTATGGTGTTTTTTGTCCTTTCTTTTCCTTTGTAATGTTAACTGGGGATAGTCACTAAGTAAAAAGAAAAAGAATCAACAGCGCAAATGGCGGGGGAAGAAACAAAAATGCGAGGGCAGGCGCTGTCCTAGTGTTTATCATTGTCCCCCCCTTGCACTGTTAGTTCCTTCTTTAAGGCATCTACCAGCTAGCCCGCCTTTCACCGCTTGTTGAGCTACCTAATTTAATTAGTCAGTCAATCGCAGCATGATCTGCCTACTCTTTTTCACAAACAGCGCCTTCACCACGTCTGGAAAGTCCGACCAGAAGTCGTCTGCCGCCAGCCAAGTGTGCGATTACAACCCTGACAAGGCTAATTATGACCCTGTGGAAGATGCCTGCTGGAAAAAGGGTGCCAAAGTGCCGTACCTTGCCCTTGCCATCACCTTGGACAAGATCGACGGCATCTCAGGCAGGTGGGTTTGCGAGCTGTCAGGCAGCCCTGATGGCGCCACATGAGGCTTTTCAGCGCATGTACACGTGCAAAACTGAAAAAGAATTTCAGGGGTGAGGCTTAACTCCCACCACCTGGCTACACCAGTGGCTCTCTCTCTCTCTTTGCATCGCTGTGCTTCTTCTTTTTCTCCCAGACTTCGCATCATTGAGGTGTTAAGCAACTTCCTCCGATCGGTTTTAACCCTCTCACCCGACGACCTGCTGAGTGCTGTCTACCTCTGCCTCAACAAGATCGCACCCGACTACGAAGGCCTTGAGCTTGGCATCGGCGAGTCGCTGCTTGTCAAGGCACTTGCCGAGGCCACCGGCCGCACCCCGGACAAAGTGCGAGCCGAAGCCGCGGCTAAAGGTGACTTGGGCTTAGTTGCAGAGGTAAGGGACGCTACCCGAGAGTAGTACACCTTGACATCACTTTGAAGGGACACTAAATGAAAACAATGAATTAGATTGATCGATTATGCTCTGAAAACTATTATCATTAATTTCAACATTTCTCAAAATAATAGATGAGAAAAATCAGTGCCAATAGTGTCACTTTTGACATTTCTCACTGAAATACTCGGCGGTGTTGTCATCAATATGAGAGTTTATTTTTGGACTTCAGCCACATAGCCTGAATGAAGCTTCCTAAAACTTGGGTATGTTGAGCCTCAGGCTCTCTCAGACTACAATGCACTCAATTTTTACCAATCAAAAACTATGTGGGCCCTAGGAGACCTAGCCAAATATGTAACATCACGATGTCTGGTGTGCGAATTTCAGCTGGGTGTCACAACACACAATGTATTTTGCATGTGTTCTCACTTATCAGTCTTCTCGTAAGAACCTTGGTGGTTTTAGTGTAATGTGATGGTAATTTAACAGCAGGGATCAAGCTGGAATTATAATCAGGAATTCTTTCCATCTTTCAAAGTCACAGCTGCTTGAAATTACTACGCAGCTGAATATATTGCGTACTCATATTTTTTACTCTTATATTCCACGGTACATTTTTAACAATTGCAGAGCAGCCGCAGCCAACAACGGGTGCTGTTCCCTCCGCCGCCGCTGATGCTGTCGCACGTGTTCACCAAGCTGCGAACCATCGCTGAAATGACGGGAAATTCGGTGCGTACCAATCTTTCCTGGAAACATGCGGCACTGCCAAGTCATGCGGGACGTTTTGCAGTCCAAAACTGTGCACGAATGAAATGATCCCGTCGAGGTGCATGTTCTTATACTGTCAGAATAGTACATCTGTGGCTGCTGGCCTACTCCGGCAATTTTAGTGCGATAGTGTTAAAGAGCTCGCGTCGCAGAAAACCCGCCACCGGCATCGGCCCGTTTGTTGTGAGCAAAAAATCGTGTGTGTGTCTGTGACCGAAAAATCAAGTTACCGAGATAGCCGCAAGAGGCTGCTACTTGTACACAGGTGCGCGCGATCACACTGAAAAAGCCGCGTATTCGAAGAAGAAAAAAGTCCTCAAGGTCACGAGGCGCGGTAGTTACTTTGCCCTGCCACCCCTTCCTGCTTAGCTTCAAGCGCTTTCGTCGGGACGAGAGAAGAGGTAATGTAATTGCAGGATGCGACGAACCTTTGTAATTCCACTCGCACTGAACAGATTCTTAAAATTTTCGCAGTTTTGAATTCGTGAGCAATAAGCTCTTCTAGTAAATTCATTCCATGGTTACTTGAAAAAGTGTTTCAGGGCCCCTTTAACACATTTTGTTCGACAGGCGTCATGACGAAAATGAGCCCATTTGGTGATAATAGCGTGCGCTGGTCCAATCTACTGTGTGCGTGTTTGTGTGTGCGTGTATGTAACAAAACGTATGGATAAGTATGCACCTAGCGGTTGAAGGGTGCACTAGGGGCTGGATTACGCTATCGCGTTCAACTTCAACTCTTGCAGGCAAAGCTTAAGGGTCCCCCAGTTTTTTTCAAGGTATATGGATCTCAATGAAATTCACTGGGTATGTTCATTTGCACGTTTGCACCATTCATGCCAAGTTGCAGGCTTGAGCGTTTCACAGATTCTTTTCAAATGAATTCAATAGCTTGCATCGAAACGCTCACCTTGCTTGCCAGAATTAATGGCAACATTGTGTGTTTTATGTTGATTTTTGCTTGTCAGAAGTGACGGGAACTGATGTGCCACTGCAGCGTTTGCTTGTCTGCTATTGATTGTGTGGGTTTAGCCGGCACTTCCTTGGTTGAGTGTGCAATTTCCTTTTCCGTGTTCTTGGGTGTGCGATGGGTGGCCAGTGGTCTTGCGTTGTGAGCCTCACACGATTCGCCATATAGTTGCCATAACAGCGAAAGCGTTTTAGCCGATTGTGGCGCACGACATGAACAGGTAGTGCCATCTGGCAGGCATTATGCGCAATCAGGCATGTTCGGGCACATGATTACGTCTCACGTAGAAGCAAACTCGGTTGGGTTTTGGTATTGTGGTTTTCCGGTAATTGAAAATTATTTCCAGTTGTTGTTGGGCATTCAGTTATTGGGTACATGACAGAAGTGTCCCGGGAAGATAAAAGCACCATTATTCTGTCATGCTAAAGAATTGCCAGGGTTGGTCTTTAATGAAGTATTTTTGATAGTTCGATGAGGGCAAAATCTAGAATTATTGCTGGCTGGTAATTTACTTATGTGTCATAATAACCTAAAGGAAAGGGTCTGTTATATCTGAAGTCTTCTTTATTGGATGTTGTGACCATGATATGCCATAAAAGGCTTCAACTCTGCATATGACCACTGCCCATCTTGACGGCAATTGCAAAGATAACGAAAATGTTGAAACTTTACAAATTGCATGGATAAAAGTTTATTTTGCAATTGTATGACAATGCATGGAGGCATAGCATGTCGCTTATTCTCTGTTCGAAACTGTTCTATTCAGACCAATTATAATGGGCACAAAATGTAGACGCTGTACGCTCAAACCTTAATGTAACAAACCCTGATATAACTAAATGTCGATTATGTAGAGGTGCTTATTAGGTGGCACTCAGTGACAAAGCGTAATCGCAATAATCACGGCCAAGCACATACTCTCCGGGCGAGCGTTGTTTTTTTCGGAGATGACTCACTAGAAGGCGGTTTAAACGATGTCTTAAATGAAGATATAGCAGGACTAGCAACCACACTGGCGAAAGGCGTCGATGACATGCGTGCCACTTCTCCTCAGGTACTGGTAGTAATATGCACGATACCGGAGGTACCGGTGCGTGACGACAACCTGCAAAGAGCAGTTGTCAATGCAAACCAAGAGATATGGCGGATGAGTTGAGAGAAAGGCTTTGAGGTGGTGGAAATAAACAGAGAGGTGCATAGGTGGGGTGGTTTTCGACGAGACAGAATTCACTGCGATGGGCGGCTAGGTCATGAGGTCAGTTGGTGACTTGCAGGACGCGCAGTAGCTTTTGGGGGGGGGCAAGCGGGCCCTTCGGGGTGCAGGATAGCTAGTAACGAGGACAACAACCAGGGAGACTCTTTGACAGGTGCTATGGACAGATACGATTCCAAAGTGGCACCAGTATCTAAGTCCGGGGCATAAATAGACGTAGCCACGAGTGCCGAGCCAATTCAGACATAAGGTATATTAACATGCAGGGTGGTAGGAACAGGCTGAAGTGAGAAGAGATAGAAGACCAGCTAATGGAAGAGAGGCCGATGGTATACGGTTTTGTAGAAACACATCTCAGGGACATGGAACAACCTCCGAACAATCTGGGCTACGCGTGGGAATACTGTAATAGAACAGAAGGCAGCAGAAAGGGGGGGTGGTATTGGGGCATTCATTCATAAAAGTACAGACTGGCAAAGGGTCAAGCAGCACTGCAAGGAACATTTATGGCTACAAGGGAAAGTGGCAGGTCAAATGACACTCCTTGGTTTCGTGTACTTGTGTACGGGAGCGAAGGCCAGAGAGGAAAACCAGGCAATGGTAGAGTGTATATCAAAGGACATTCAGGAGTTAGGAAGAGATTGCGAGATAATTATACTAGGAGACATGAATGTGCACATAGAAGATATAGATGGGTATACCAACCCGACAGGCAAAATGATCATGGATATGTGTGAAAAGCTTGATTTGATCATTTGCAACAGTACCGAGAAGTGTGAAAGGCAAATAACATGGGAGGTAGGAAGGCTGTAGTCGACGATAGATTATGCACTGATGTCACATAGGATGTATGATAAGCTCAGGGGAATGCGCATAGATGAAGGTGGCTCCAGAAGTCTGGGTAGTGATCACAAACGTATCAAGCTAAGTTTTAAAAGAGCAGTGAAAGCGGGAAGGAGACAAGATGTGCAATGACAGGAAAATTTTTTATTCAGAAAAGGAAATAGAAATAGCTATTAAACAAATTGAGAAAGTAATCACTCAGGATAATAAAACAGTGTGGACATACACAAACCTAATTAGACTGTTTGAGCTAGAGCTTGCTAAGGCACGTGACAAGTCAACCCGGAAAAGAAGAGACAAACCCAATAGTTGGTGGGAGGCAAAACGTCAAGCAAAACGTCAGGAAGTCTTTAGGGAACACAGACATGCTGAGCAGCAGGGTGAACCAACAGATGATGTTGAAAAGAAAAGTAGACATCTTTCTAAGCTGTAGACGGGAAGCATTCCTTCTGATCAATGAAAAAGATTAGAAGAAAGGGGGCTCAGTGGCTGGCAGAAGTACGTAAAAAGGATATAAAGGCAGCTGCGAAATTCTGGAACCATCTAAACTCCCTAAGAAATGAGACGAGCCTAGAACAGAGATTTATAACTACAGCTCAAGGTGCTAGGCTAGAAGGGGACGAAGCTATTGAATATATAAGAACAAGGGTGTCAGAAAAATTTCAACAAAGAAGTGCCTTATGCACCGCAATAGACAAGGATGAATCAGGTGGCGCAATGGCTCCATTTTCACAACGAGAGTTGGAAAGGGCTGAGAAGAGGGTTCCTAGTAGTACATCAACAGGCCCAGATGGCATTCCAATTATGCTGATAAAGACATTGGGTCCAAAGTCTAAGCAGACTTTGAGAGAGGCAGTGAGCAGAACAATAATCGATGGTGAAGTCCCAGATGGATGGAAACTTAGCAGGATGAGCATGATCTATAAAAGAAAGAGGGACAAAGCTGACATAAACAACTACCGTCCTATAACAGTGACATCAGTGGTCAACAGGCTGGCGATGCAGATTATAAAGGAAAAACTGCAGACATAGATAGAGGAGGGGGTGCTGGCGGAACTGCAGAATGGGTTTCGGAAACACAGGAGGTTGGAAGATAATCTGTTCTCACTGACGCAGTGCATTGAAATAGCAGAAAAGGAACACAGGCCCCAGTGGCTATCATTTTTGGATATCAAGGGAGCGTACGATAGCGTGGTTCAAGAGGACTTGTGGCGATTACTGGACGCACTAGGTGTGGAAGATGGAGTCACTAATGTTTTAAAGGATATCTATAAAGGTAACAAGGTAGTTATAAAGTGGGAAAAACAGGTATCCAAGCCCACAGAGGTAAAACGGGGGCTTAGACAGGGGTGTCCTCTGTCACCCTTGTTATTCACGATGTACCTACAAGGATTAGAGGCCAAATTAGAGGGAAGTGGACTGGGCTTCAACCTCTGTTTCGTCAAACAAGGAAAACTCATTGAACAGGCACAACCAGATTATATGTACGCAGATGATATAGTGCTAATGGCCGACAACAAGGAAGATTTGCAGAGATTGATGGACATATGCGGTAATGAGCGAGATAGGTTAGATTTCAGATATAGTAAGGAAAAATCGGCAGTCATGATTTTGAATGGCAATGAAGGTAGTGAGCTTAGAATACAGGAGGTCACGCTAGAGATAACAGATAAATACAAATATCTGGGCGTATGGATAAGCAATGGGACCGAGTACCTGAGGGAACACGAAATATACGTGACGACTAAAGGTAACAGGAACGCAGCAGTGATGAGAAATAGGGCACTGTGGAATTACAATAGGTATGATGTTGTGAGAGGAATATGGAAAGGGTTCATGATTCCTGGTCTGACGTTTGGCAATGCGGTCTTGTGCATGAGATCAGAAGTTCAAGCAAGATTAGAAATTAAGCTACATGGAATAGGTAGGCTTGCC